TCCAATTCTAGGATGCTGCAGTGTGGAGATGGAGGTCTTTGTGTTTGTAGAGGTAAGGTTATGGAGGTGGACATTGGTAGGATTTTAAGTAGAGAAGTACAAGGCAGATGGTGAAGTCTTGATCAGTACAATAGACACAGCCCTTTCCTGTTATAAAATTAGCACAGTTCTTGTCCCGTAGGAGGCTGTGTGGTATAGAAGAAAGATCATAAGTTCAGACTCTCGGTTCAGACTTTGGACCACCTACCTGATTTTTCAATCCTTTTTTGTTTTTCTTTTTGTAAATTGGGAATGGTGAGACCAGCTGCAGGAGTTTCATTGCTAAAAAGTGTTTTCTGAAAGTACTTAACTAATACTAACTTGTTTTTATTCCTGATTGCTGCCATCACTTCGAGAGAGCGTGGAAGTGGAAGTAGGGGAGAGAAGCAAAGATAACAAGTGAATTTTTTTTTCAGTACTGGGGATCGAACTCTGGCCCTTGTGCTTGGGAGACAGGTGGTGAAACCACTGAGCCAAATCCCAGGCCCAATAACAAGTGAATTTTGAATTCATTTCATTTATTCCGCATGTTGAGTTTATGTTACAGGGTTAGCGCAAACATGTATGAAGGAATACAGAACAGGCAAGCACTGATGTATGGAAGGATTTTATAAACTAAGACTGGCTGGCTCATGAAAATTGTGTTGTTGATCTACACAACACAATTAAAGAAATGCTTTGGGCTGGGGATGTAGTTGAGTGGTGCTGTTCTTGCCTGGCAAGTGCAAAGTCCTGAGTTTGATCCTCAGTACCCAAAGGAAAAAGAAAAAAAAAAAAGAACTGTTTTATCTTATAATTTTCCACAAAAATTTCCATCCTGCATAGGAGTCTATTTTACTGTCCTGGAGGGCAGAGTAAGAACCATTACGTGAAAGTTACAGGGAAGGAGTCTGTTGATAGCTTTGGCTTTTGTTTGGAAAAGCATTTTCTAACAATTGGACATTGGATTTGTTCAACAGTGAAATGGATGTCATGGAAAGTAATGAGTTCCCTATCAGAGCTTGTACCCAAGTGGTGACTGTCAGAGAGATAACAGAATAATTCTTGACGGAGGAAAGCATTGGATTAAATAATTGCTAAGGCCTGTTTGGAAGATTGGAGGATTTTGACTTCATTTGAGATCTGTCTGTGCATCATTCATTCAACACATATGTGAATGCTTCTTGTTTTGTCTGAAAGGTCGAAAGCCAGTGTGTGTGTGTGTGTGTGTGTGTGTGTGTGTGTTTGAGACAGGATCTTGCTGTATAGTCCAGGCTGGTCTTGAAGTCATTATGTAGCCTAGGCTGAGGCTGTCCTTGAACTCATGGCAGTCCTCCTGCCTCAGCCTTCCAAGTGCTGGGAATATAGGCAAGTGCTACCGCCCCTGGCTGCCAGTGTTTTGTTTTGTTTGGGTTTTTCTTCCCCCCTCTTTTTTTTTTGTACTGGGGATCGAACCCAGGACCTTGTGCTTGGTGAGGCAGGCGGCGGAACCACTGAGCTAAATCCCTGGTCCCTGGGTTTTTCTTCTTTTATTTTTTTTTCTTTCTCCTTCCTGTGTACTAAGGCAGAGCCAAAGACTTTATCAGTCACTGGCTTTGATCTCCCCATTTGGATGAGAGACTCAAACCGGTGTTGGTGGTAACAGAAGCTGCTGTCTTCACCAGGTGGGTGGGATTAGGGTGGAGTCCGTGATATTCAGCTGGAGACATGAAATGTAAAAATGTGCTGCCAGGAAGTTTGGTTTAATGCTTCAAATTTTTGCTAAAGAGCAAATCTTTCTAGATGATGTCAGACCCATTAAGTTAATTTTTTAAAAGAATGATCTCCTCCTGTTTGACACGTAAGATCTGTGGTGCCATAGCATCGTCTTTTTCATTTGCTTCTCACAGTCTGTGTCTGGCTAGAAAATCGTTTACATGTCTGTGGCTTAGTCAAGTCTCCTTTCTGCTGAGCATCTTTTTGCTGGTTGTTTTTTGTGTGCTTACCACATATTTCCTCATATAATTTTTTTTTTTTTGAGAAGAGTCTCACTGTGTAGTCCAGGCTGGCCTTGATTCTCAGTTTCTCCTGCCTCAGCCTCCTGAGTGCTGGGATTACAGGCATGTGTCACCACACTTAGTTTCACCTCACATTTTTAAAGAAACTGTTAAAGTGGCTTGACTGTTACTTTGCCTTTTTTGTATGTTAGAAGATGGGAATTCATTTTGTAGCTGTACTCTTGATTTTGGACTATTCATGTGTTTATTTCATTTGATCTTCTGTGATCAAAGACAGTGAATAAAATGGGCTTTGGATTAGGAATTTCTTGCTTGCATTAGAGATGAAAAAAGCCATTCATTCACCTATGACTTCTGTAGGAATTTAATTCTTTTTTTTTTTTTTTTTTTTTACATGGGGTTCCCTTTGGTATTGACGGATCTGTGAATTTAATTCTTTTTTTTTTTTTTTTTTTGAGACAGGGTCTCACTATGTAATTGAGACTGACCTGAACTCACTATGTAGCCCAGGCTGGTCTCGAGCTCACAGCGATCCTCTTGCCTCAGTCTCCCGAGTGCTGGGGTTTCAGGCGTGCGCCACCATGCCCGGCGGGAATTTAATTCTTAAAAAGAGATTGTAAGGAACTGATTTACTCTATAACTTGATCTTTTCAACTTGAGGTATCCTAGACTGAAAATTCTTTGTGTATTACTGGCCCTTTCTCGTAATAATGGTATTGAAACAGAAGGAGATTGGATATTGATAATACCTCAATTGAAAGAGAATATGAAGATCATAGCTTCTGAGCCAGCAGTGAACTAAATAATTCAGTTTTTAAACTTGGGAAGAACCTTAGATGTTATGTAATCCAAGTGCAGGTTATAGAAGAAGCAGCTGAAACCCTGCAAGTGGTTTGACTGAGCCACTGGTTCATAGGTACAGATGTAGGTCAGAAGTGTGCCAGAGCGGTGGGAGTTTGTAACAGTGTGATCCGCCTGTCTTTAGGAAGGAAAAGTCTCTAAAACTTCGAGGGATGGGTGGGGCTGGGACGGACCCTTAGAAATAGAAGAGATAAAATACCCTAGAATTTCTCATCGTATGAGGCTCAGATTGTTTGCTGTGGTGTGACTGACATGGAGCTTCACTTCGTCATTGAATCACGAATAGTGGGCGTCTACTGCCCGCCTGCCTTATTGTAGATGCAGCGCTAAATGTTGGGGCTGCAGATTGGAATCAATCATATCCTTGCACTCATGGGTCTCATGTACTAATAGAAGAGCATAAGACAGAATACATTCTCTTTCATCATTTCTCAAAACCAAATTCAAGCCGGGCATAGTGGTGCTTGCCTGTTATTCCAGCCCTTTGGTAGGCTGAGGCAGGAGTATGAGAAGTTTGAGCCCAGCCTGGGCTATTTAGTGACTTAGCAAGACCCTGTCTCACAGTAAAAAATGATGTAGCTCACTGTGAAGGCAATCCCTAGTGTTCAAGAAACAAACAAAAAATAAATCCAATGTTATCAAGTTAGTGACCTTCTGTTTCTATAATCCACACATCTCAGCTGTTTTTTTGCTTTGGTATTTCTAAGGAAAACAGAAAAACCAGGATCTCAGTACACCGCTAAACAAGCTGTGCCCTGGGATAGGCAGAAGTATGAAAACGAAAGAATCCAGGGGTTTATCCTTAGACATTAAGCCTTTAGGAGGACACGTTTGTGACGAGTCATTTGAGTCACCTGTTTTCTTTGAGGTGAGGGCTTGGCATGTAGCGGGAGGGGGAGCCTGGAGACTGGGTGAGTTGGCTTCCCTAAAGGACTGTGGACCGGACAGATTTGGTCAGAGATTGCTGCTTCTCTGTTATGTGCCCCAGCTGGCTCTGTTAACCTCAGAGGAGCGTTGGATGGAGCAGGCTCTCAGGTCAGGTGCATAGTTTCTGCTGTAGCCATCTGAAAGAAGAGGTCTTTTTTGGGTGAATTTATCTGGCAATCAGTTGTCCTAGTTGGAAAAAGACATGTTTGGGGTGGAAGTGTTTCCTGGGTCCATGAAGGTAGTAAACAGAGATTGCCTTGGCAGGAACTGTTGGGATCCCCATTCTGACGTGCAGGATAGCTTATTGCTTTGAGTAGATTTAGCAGTGTTTACTCCTTCTGGTTCCTTTGCTAACATCAGAACCCTAGTCAAATGAAGCAAGGTGGCACATAGGTGTAATCCTAGCGCTCAGGAGGCTGAGGCAGGAGGATCGCCAGTTTGAGGCCAGCTACATAGGTGACCCTGTCTCAAAAAAAGGGGGAGGGGGAGAAAAAGTATTTAATCCTAAAATTATCCGGTGTATGCATTTATCCGTTCAGTAAATATTAACTGAGGGCCTGTGTGCCAAGTGCCAGGCACATGTTCCCTACTTTGAAAAAACTTAAAAAAGAAATGACTAGACAGTAAGTGATTTAAAAAAGTTTCAAAGTATATCAAATGCCAGGAAGGAAATAAACAAGGTGTCAAGTTAGAGAACACTGAAAGGGAGTTCTTTAGGGTGATAGTCTGCTGCATTCTGCCTTCAGCTTAGTTATCAAACTCAGGGAAGAAACGTAATACTCTAGCAAAGTAGAGAAGAACCATTATTCAGAGTGGTTTGTGGTTAATGTATTCGTTAAGTCATTAGTGTTAACAAAGAATTAGAAAAGTAAATGTTAACTTTTCTTTTTCTTTTATTTTTGAGACAGGGTCTTGCTATATAGTTCAGCTTAGCCTTACACTCACTATGTAGCCCAGGCTGGCCTTGAACTCATGACAGTCTTTCTGCTTCAGCCTACCCAGTGCTGGGATTACAGGTGTGTGTCCCCCCCAGATTCAATTTAAATTATAAGTTTAAATTGATTTGTTTTAAAAGTGAACTGAAATGAATATGCTAAGATAGTTACTTTCCCCAGTTGATTAAGAAGCTGCTGAAATTGGGCTGTGATCATCCTGTTCCAGTATAATTTGAACCTTATGTGTTTGTTTCCTTCCCAGGTGGAGACTTGAATTTTGATCTATGTCCTACCACATCCGGCTTCCTGAAAGAACTTGATGGTCACATGACCCTGGACATGGATGCTGTCCTGTCGGATTTTGTCCGTTCCACAGGAGCAGAGCCAGGGCTAGCCCGAGATCTCCTGGAAGGTAAGGCGCTGGGGCTGAGGGTGAGAAAAGAGAGAGTGAATGATTGATATTTATTGTTAGGATGATTTGGCACATTTAAGGTGGTCTGGAAGATACTTTTTATGTGGGTGGCCTTCCATTTAAGTTACTTGAACCAGGCCCATGTCTGTAATCCCAGCACCTGCGAGGCAGGGGAATCACTATAGGTTCAAGGCCAGCCTAAGTGGCATAGTAAGTTCCAAGCCAGCCTGGACTATATAGTGAGAATGTGTCTTAAAACACAGAAAAACCCAAAACCACTTGATATTTGTAATGATCTAATTCCACTGTCAGTTAGGTTCAGGTAATATAAGTGAACATTTATATTAGTCCACTTAAAGCAAATATCTCCATGTGCAAGCCTTCTTTATATTTTGCTTATTTATAAGTATACATTCATATAAATTTGAATATTGTACATTTTAAGACTGTGAAGGATTACAGTCGTATTTAGTCATAATTAACAGACTTTTTTTCAGAATTAATGCAGTCACAATAAAAATACCGATAGTATTCCTTACAGAACTAGAGAAATGGTTGCAACATTTATTTGAAACCAGAAGAGACCCAGAATAGCAAAAGCCATTCCAGGTAACAAGGACAAGGCAGGGGGCATCACAGCCCAGATTTCAAGTTACATTACAAAGCTGCAGTGATAAAAGTTTGGTACTAGCAATAACAAGAGACACGTGGGTCAGTGGGTTAGAACACAGGATGCAAAAACAACTCCAGGCCCACTCACTACCTTATTTTTGACAAAGGGACCAAATCCATTCACTGGAGGAAAGATAACTTTTTAAACAAATGATGTTGGGAAAACTGGCTTTCCATATGCTGAAGATCTTTGACCCATTTTGATTTTAGTTTAGTACATGTTCAGAGATATGGGTCTAGGTTCAATCTTTTTTTATCCAGTGAAGGGATTTAGTTATTATGAATTGTGCTGCTATAAACATGGATGTGCATATATCACTGTGGTATGATGTTTTTAGCTCTTTTGGGAAAGGTATCTAGAAGGGGAATAGTTGGGTCAAATGAAATTTCTATGTTTAGTTTTTTGAGGAATCTCCACACTGATTCCTGTAGCTAAATCTTGGAAGCAGGCTGTATGTCTATCAACATATGAATGGATAAAGAAAATGTATTTATACGCGATAAGAGTACTGCTGTGTCACGAAGAAGGATAAACGAGTCATTTGTAGGAAAATGGATGCACCTTGAAGTAAAAGTGAGGTAAATCAGACACACAAGATTAAATATTCATGGTTTCTCATATATAAGAAACTCAATATAAAGTATAAATAAAGACAGATAATAAGAAAAGAGAGCTGGGCGTGGTGGTGCCCGCTTGTAATCCCAGCACTTGGGAGGCTGAGGCAGGAGGGTCGCTGTGATTTCGAGACCAGCCTGGGCTGCACAGTGTGTTCCAGATCAGTCTCAACTACATAGTGAGACCCTGTCTCAAAAAACCAAAAAAAAAAAAAGAAGAAGAAGAAGAAGAAAAGAAAAGAGGAAAAAAGTTACAATCCAACGTGGACAATATATCTAAAACTGTACCTTGGTTTGGTATACAGTAATTGTCCTTGGCCTATTAGCCGGTTGTTAATCTGTATGTATCATAACTAACTTTTTAAGGACTTATAAATAAATGAACCTGATGCTGGAAGAAAAAAGAGTGCAGGGAAAAGGGGAAAAAAGGATTGATGTGTTATGTTCATGTACCAATTCCTCATAATGAATGTAATTATGCACTGAAAACAAGTACTAATAAAAATGTAAATGAAAAACGGATGCTTTTTGATGTAAAAAGTATATAATGACACAGGCAGGCCTACAGGGAGGGGCAAGTTCTTAGATTCATTGGTAATTGTTTAGATTTTCAGCCCTTAGGAAGCTGTGACAGTCTGACCTTTGCTTAGCTATCTATGAGCAGAGTTTAGAAACAGAAGATCAGAATTTAAATTCCAGTTGATTAATTCGATGCCATTTCCCCCTTAACTTGGATTTTCAGTTTCTGCTACTTTTCCCCACGTGTCCTGTGCTCCACCCAGGTTTGGCTGTCACTGTAGTGTGATATTCTTTCTTCCCTTATTCTCATCCTTGAAATTCAGCTCAGAAGGCTCCTTTTGCAAAGTAAAATGATCTGGAACATTCTCCATTCTTTGTGCAACACGTGTTAGATACTTTCAAGTGTTCAGTATGTTGAGATATATTATTTTTTTCTCTCAGCCAGCCTTTTAAGGTTCACTGAACTTAAACAATTTGAATCTAGGCAGTTTGGTTTCAGAGTATGGCCCTTAACAGTTGTTACAGATTATTGTTTGTATGTGGGCTTGCACAACTACTCGCGTTTCGAGGAAAAGCTAAGGGTGCTGTATGAATGATCATGTTATGAAAGAAAAGTTGAGGTGCTGAGAGAGTGAAGAGAGAAACCCAATTAGGATCTAGAGTGCACAGAAGTCCTTGAGGAGGTTCAGTGTACGACATGAGTAGGAGGAGGAAGAAGAGAGGATTTTTGCAGGACAAATACCTTACCCACGGGCCCTAAGGCGAGAGAGAGCTTGACACATTGGAAAACCCTGACAGCACTTAGGAAAGTGGTGCTAGTGCAGTGGGAAGTCGGCTGGATAGACAGGAAGCAGAGCCTTTCTTGACCATGGTGGTGTTGATGTTATATTCCCAGGTCCCTGGAAAGCTGGTGAAGGATTCTAATCAGACTCTGGTTGTTAATAGTGTACTGGTTGTCAGATTCTGAGTGGACTGGAATGTGGCCAGTGACCAGATAAGGACCTCACTGTAGTTCCAGGGAGAGATGACTGTGATCTGGACCACAGTGGCAGCAGTGGAGGGAGAGAGAGGTGGATGGATCTAAGACACAGTTTAAAAGAGGAATCAAAGACCCAGTCCACTCTGTCTTTTTGTAGCTTTATTTTGTCCTTTAAAAGTGAACTCTGGCTGTCATGTTAAAGAACAAGTCAGAGATGGGGAGAGAATGGGAGCAGAGAGATGTTAGAGAATTTCCCTCTCAGAGGACCAAAGACTGGGTGAAAGTGTAAGCACCTGACTTGGGATACTGGCAATAAATTGGACGTGAAAGAATAGACTTGAGAGGTATTTCAGGGATACAAACAACCCTGAGGACGGGCTGGGTGGCAGCACAGAAGGAATCGTGGAGGAGCAGTGAGAACCGGGAAGTGACTGAAATCTTTGGGCCTGGAGGGATTGTGATGCCCGCGCTGACTTGGGGACATAGAAGGGAGGAAACAAGCTTTGTGAAGGACGAGCTGAACATTCATATTTGCATGCAATGAATGTTAGAAGGGCCTGATTTTAAGGAGCTTTGCATACAGTCGGAAGTACATTCACTGATTGATTGATTCAGGAAAGTCGTCTGTTTATTCAACAAATATTGAGTGCCAGGTACTCTTCTAGATGCTTGAACAAAACAAAGCAAACAAAATTCCCTACCCTCGTGTTGTAGCAGGAGAGGCAGTCAAAGAAACATGGTTACTACATAAGTTATAGATATACGTGCGCACGCGCGCACACACACACACACACACACACACATACACACACGTGAGGGGGGGTACTAGGAATTGAACTTGGGACCTTGTGCTTGCCAGGCAGGCACAGCACCACTGAACTATATCCCCTGGCCCATAAATAAGGTATCAAGTGCTGTGGAAAATATAAGAAGAATAAGTACGTTACAATTGCAATAGGGCAGTCAAGGTGGGACTTAGTAAGAGTAAGAATGTGACATTTGAGCAAATACCTAGCGCTGATGAGAAGTTGTCCGTGTGGGTATGTCGGTGAAAGGGCCTCACACGCAGTGGGGACAGGCCGTGGAGAGGCTCTAGGGTGAAAGCCGATTTAGAATATTCTAGGAACAGGGCTGGGGATTTAGCTCAGTGGCACAGTGACTGTCTGGCAAGTGCAAGGTTCTGAGTTCGATCCCTTGTACCAAAAAAAAAAAAAGATATTCTAGGAACAGTGAGTAAGACTAGCGACTGAAACGGAGTGAACAAAGGGAATTGTAGAAGTGGTGAATGTAATGGTTTAGAAGTAAAGTTGTAGAGCCATTAATGATTAGTGAGTGAAGTCACAGCAGCAGCAGAAATAAACACATAGATCCTGCTTCCTGTGTACCAAGCATGGTTCTCTGTTCTTTTCTTTTTTCAGTACCAGGGATTGAACTCAGGATCTTGTGCTTGCGAGGCAGGTGTGGCATCACTGTGCTAAATCCCCAGCCCTGTGTACGTTTTCTTTTCTGTTTTTGTTTTTTTTTTTTCCTTTTTGAGACAAAGTCTCACTGTATAGTTCTTGAACTTACTGTGTAGCCCAGGCTGGCCTTAACTTGAAGTTAGTACTGTTCTTACCATCTGCATTTTCATAGATAAAGAAATTGAAGGCTGATGCATGGTGGTGCACACCTGTAATCCCAGCACTTGGGAGGCTGGGGCAGGAGGATCGCTGTGAGTTCGAGTTTGAGGCCAGCCTGGGCTACCTAGTGAGTTCAAAGCCTAAACTTCTTTTACAGCAAAACTGCTGTGGGCTGATCCTGAAGATGTTCCTTCAGCTCCTCCCTGTTCCCTTTCTCCATAATTAGAATCAGACAGACAGTCTGTTGGATTAATATTGTACACCCTGAATAGCACAGCTCTAGGAGACAGTCACATTGTGTATCCTTCCTGCACATGCGTGGATCGTGAATCAGTCACACAGTCACACTGGTTCTCTTCCTGATTGCTTTGTGTGCGGGACTCCAGGTGGCCATTAGCTCCTGAGAAGCTGTGGTTCCACCTGGTCCCAACTTTCTTTCTTTTTTTTTTTTGGTTTTTTGAGACATAGGCTCACTATGTAATAGAGACTGACCTAGAACTCACTACGTAGCCCAGAACTCACAGCAATCCTCCTGCTTCAGCCTCCTGAGTGCTGGGATTACAGGCATGTACCACCATGCCTCACTCCCAACTTTCAAGAATAGTCTGTTTCTTTTTTTCTTTTTTTTTTCTTCATCTCCTACCTCTCTCCCTGGCTTTGGATCCTACGCTGTAGCGGTTGAGGCATAAAACATTCATTGGTACATTTTAGGAATATATAATGATAACGCTCATCATAGGGAATTTGCCTCTGTACGTGGTACATCCTGCCTCTTTTTTCCCATTTCCTCCCTCCCCTCAAGCCCCCTTTCCCTCACTATGTACAAAAGCTTTGTTTCCATTTTTTCCTTCTATTTTTTCTTGTTCCTTCCTTCCTTTCTCCCTTCTCCTCCCTTGTTCCCCTTCCCATTTGAATGTTTTCTTCCTATTTCCCAATATCTGTTACACGTTTTAGTCCTTATCGCCACTTTCAGTTTCTCATACCAGAAAAACAGTGATTATTCAAACATGAGTGTCTGACTTATGATCTCAGGGTCCATCCATTTGGCTATAAATGTCTGAAGCTTATCCTTCTTTAAGGCAGAGCAGTACTCAGTTTAAAGAAAGAAAAGAAACACATCTTTATCCATTCTTCCATGACCTAAAGATTTGATCATGGAACAAAATAAGTCATCAGAACTGTGCTTTGAGAAAATGAATCTCATGTCATTTTTTTAGAGTTGATGGGAATTATGCTGATGGCAGATGAACTAGCAGAAAAAAGTGTGAACAGTTCAGCAGTATGTAAATAACAAAGCTGGAGAAAGCCACAGAAAAACCCATTATGACAATTCTATTGCTTAGGGGTCTTTCTTCAGTAGAGTAAGTGATACTTAAATGGGTGGGCAATATGGTTCTCTTTCATAAGCTGATGACATCTGTCAACTCTTTCTCTAGAAAAATGCAGATACTCATAGTTGCACATATAGTTTCAGGTTGCTTAAGACACCCCAAAGTGTGCCTAGGCTTAGAACCTTTTTGGATTTCAGAATTGGGAGACCCGGGCTTGAGTCCTGCTGAGCTCTTACTACGTAGTAGCTGTGACTTTGGGCAAGTCCCTTTCCTTCTCTATATGTAAAAGGAGGCTTTAGTTTTAGGTTACTAGATTTCTAAAGGCCCTTTGAGTTCTGAGAGACAAAGCTTCTCCCCTCATGGATATGTACTTAGGAAATAGACAATAAATTAAAAAATTAATATTTCAGATAGAAATGTTAGGAAGCAAATTCAAAGAAGAATGATTGAAGTACTATTAGTATTTACCTGCTGATTTTTTTGTTTGTTTTGTGTTTTGGGGAATTGAATCCAGGGACTCATATGCTAGGCAAGGGCTCTACCACTGAGCTACATACATACTTCGTAAGCTCCTGCTTACGAGGTTTTAATAGTGCAAGAGTGGTCCGTGTTTCTTTCCCCAATTTCTCTATACCTGAGTGCATAATTTGCTTTTTGCTTTGTGTCCTGACAGGAAAAAATTGGGACGTGAGTGCCGCCCTCAGTGACTTTGAGCAGCTCCGTCAGGTCCATGCTGGGAGCCTCCCCCCACCCTTTAGTGAAGGGAGCAGTGGCTCCCAGACCCCCGAAAAAGGCTGTTCTGATAGGGAGTGTGCGCGCCCTTCCCGACCCAGCCTGCAGCGGCAAGATGACATCATTCAAGGTACAGGGCAGCTGATGAGAGATGCTTGTGAATACCGCAGAGTAAGAAGGGCGGGGACTGTTAAATAGAGCAGAAAGCCTAGGTATTCTCCTTATCCCCAGACAAGCACAGAAGGAGATGGCCAAGGTCAGCAGAGACCTTACCATCTCTCTGCATCCTGTTACCCTGTATGAGATCTCCTTCAGATCTGTGAAAGAAATAGAGCAAAGAGGGTAACAGTGTAATTGATGACATTAGGTACATTTAAAAGTAGAATTAAAAGGATCAGTGCCATCTACTGTTTTGGAAAGTGATAATTTGTTAATATTTGCCAGTATCCACCAAAGTTTAAAAATGCATAATAGTCTGAACAATTTCATTTCTGGGAATTTATGATACATATATATGTGCTTATATCTTAGCATATCTCCTTTAAATACATAAACACGTACAAAATAATTATTTTATAATAACTGAACTTGAAAATACTTTTTAATGCCCATTAGTACAGAAGTGGCTAAATGAACCATAATCATTCTTACTCTGGAAGAATTTTCAGCTCTTAAAAGGAATTAGATAAAATGTAATATGCTATTTTGAAAGGCTTGCTAACCCTCATTCAGAAAGGTAAGATACAGCATGTGTAGGATATTTCTGTTTGCCTTTTTAAAGATTTTAAAAGCTGTATGGGCTTCTGTATGCAAAAAGTTTCTAGGAAGACATAAAAGGTTGTCTCTGGAGAAAGGGTCAGGAATTGTGAGTTTGCAGGGAAACTTCTTTGTAAAATCTTTTATACTTTTTGATGGCATTTTGATATTTAATCATGACACGTGGTACTTTTGAGATACCTAAAAAATATTTTAGAATGACGTCACTACAGAATTAACTTTAGGCAACTTAATTTATATAATGTATAAATACTAGCTTGAGAACGGCCAGGCAACATTGGAACTCTTGCCTCCTTAACAGCATCATGATATAACTGAAGGCGTGCAAATGAATGGTATTGGAGCAAATTATGCTCACCGTGGAAAGCAGCTGGTGAATTGCAAGTGCTTCGTATTCAGAATAAATGATTGGGGGACTATCTATGGTTTTAAGCATGTTACGAATTAACTGTCCCTATAAATTTCTGATAAATATGAGTATCAAGAAACGTTGTTGTAAATACTATAAATAGAAGCCATTGATTTAGGAAAAAAATTCCTATGTGTATAAGATTTGCTATTAATTTTCTTTTCTATAAGAGAAATCCTTTCTACATTCTCCAAGACCCTAAGTATTATCAGATTATTTGACTAAATCTATCTGAAAAAAACCCATTTCCATTGTTCCTTCTTCCTCCCACCAGACAGTAACCCAGCTATGAAAGAGTGAGTTCATCTCATGGTGGGAAATGGAGCTATAAGAAAACAGAGTCAGAGGAGGAAGAAGGCCAGGCAGATTCCAAAGAAGGGTAGAAAGAGAAATGTGTTATTTGGTGCTAATTTAAGTGCCTGCAAGAATGCGACTTTTGCCGGGCATGGTGGCGCACGCCTGTAATCCCAGCACTTGAGAGGCTGAGGCTGGAGGATCAGTGCAAGTTTGAGGCCAGCCTGGGCTACACAGTGAGACCTTGTCTCACAAAAAGAAAAGAAAAGAAAACTGGTGTGAAGTTCAGTAACTGGTTTGGCACAGTTTTTCTCTGGTGTGAAACTGTGTCAGGAGACAGTCCTCCCCATATCAGGGCAGAATTCTCTGTTGGGCCGCATATGTTCTAAGTGACTCTGTTTCTCATTGCAGAAAAACGCCTGTCTAGGGGCATCTCCCACGCCAGCTCCAGCATTGTCTCCCTAGCCCGGTCCCAGGTCTCCTCCAGTGGTGGGGGTGGGGGCAGCAGTGAGCACCCCCTGGAAATGCCCATCTGTGCCTTCCAGCTTCCGGATCTCACTGTGTACAGCGAAGACTTCCGCAGCTTCATAGAGAGAGACCTCATTGAGCAGTCCATGCTGGTTGCCTTGGAGCAGGCAGGTCAGTGAGTGGTGTTTCTTCCAGCGTTCCTTCCTCTGCTCTCCACCTTGGCGGCCTTGAGCACTAGCTTCCGGTATCAGTGTGTGTCCGGTTGTGCCACAGACAGGTGTTAGCCAGATAAATGTGGACCAGGGTGGGTGCTTTTTGAAGAAAAGATGCTGATTAAATGCTTCCCTTTGGAAAATTTCTGTTGGATAGAAGGGAAACCAGATACACACATAAAAGGTTTACAAATAAATACCTAAAAATGAACCAATCAAAAAAACCCATACAACTAAGTATGGTTGACTTGGAAGCTTCCTTGCTAGTAGAGAGGACCAGTGCTGTCTCTGAAGTACTGAAAGTCACATGTACTCATAACCTTTTTCCCTTAGTGTACTGACTTTCACAGTCACATTTGCCTTAAATTATTGTTAGAATTAGTTGTAGCGTGGGACAGCTGGAGTTCTGGGGAAAGTTAGGCATTTCAAGATTCTCATGGGAAAAAGACTGGAGCTGGGAGATGGGGGCATGCAGAGGGAGACTTTTCATTTCATACATGTCTGTATTATATGCATGTGTTCATAAGTTTTTAGAAGTTAGCAGGTGAGCTGGGCTAGTGAATATAGGCCAGTTTTTCTCTTTAGTAGTTCAAGCAAAAAAATGTTTTGTGCATGCTATTGGGGACTAGGTACCCATAAGATTTTGCACTGAGCTATATCCCCAACTTCCCCAACTTTTTTTTTATTTAATGAAACAAGCAAGCAGTAGCAAAGTTTATTTGAAAAGGTAAAAATGAAGAGGGAGAAATTGGCCCTGCAGCACATGCTTGAGCCAAGTAAAAGAGGAAAAAAGATAAAAGAACACCCTGGAAAAAAGAAGGGAGGGCTACCATGACGAAGTCATGATAGCATTTTTTTTTTTCTTCATTTTCTGTTTTTGTTAGAGAAAGAATCTCAGTTGCAAAACTGCCTAGGCTGGGCTTGAACTTGGATTCTTTTGTTTTAGCCTTCCAGCATGTTGGGATTACAGACACATGCCACTTGCTTCAAGAAAATTGTTTAGCATCGTTTGTAAAATATTTTTTTCCTATTAATAACAAATTGGCAATTGTGGGATGAGCACAGAATTGAGACTCATTTTCTTGGGTGTTTTTTGTATTTGTCTTTAAAGTCATAGCACACACATACTGACATGTCTACCATCATGCGCAGTACAGGCAGGACACATGCCTTGCATTGTTTTGTTTTACTTATGGTGCGTTTATGCTGAGTTTTTATTGCTACAGTTGATACTGGTTTTCTAAACATAGAGAAGGAATAAGGCCAGACCAACTAGCCAACACAGTTTGAACCTTTGCAGTGTTGACACTTTGAATCTGCTCATGTTTTGTTGTAAAAGCTGTATTGTGTGTGGTATTATATTTAGAAGACTCCCTGTACCCACTAGATGCCAGTGGCATCTCCCCATGTGGCAAAGCAAACATCTCCGCATGATAACTAAGGTACCCTTGAGACAAAACTGTCCCTGATTTTTGTTTTTTGGTTTTTTTCATGGTACTGGGAATTAAACCCTGGGCCTTCATACTGAGCTATGTCCACCTCCCTCTTTTGAGTCAGGATCTCCCTGAATTGCCCAGGCAGGGCTCACACTTACTATCTCTGTCATGCACCACCATGCCTGCGTGTCTGCTTAAGACCTGCTTATCTAACCAGTTGTGCTTAACCATATTCTAACTAAATACTGTGTAAGGGAAAAGGGTATAAAGAGGTGCAGAGTACTGGTTTTATTCTGAGTAGTCTTCCTGGAGGAGGCTAATCCTCTCCTCTTCTTTTCCTCCACTCTTACGTTTTTTTCAGGGCGTTTGAATTGGTGGGTTAGTGTGGACCCCACCTGTCAGAGACTTCTTCCTTTGGCAACTACTGGAGATGGGAACTGCCTTCTGCACGCAGCTTCTCTTGGTGAGTCTTGAAAATGACCCTCCGTTCTCCTATAGAAAGGAAGAAATTGAATCAAATCTCATGCATAGGACTTGGTCCAGCCACCTTGATCCTAGGCAAAAGGGATGGTACAGAACCATCCCAGGCAGAAGGGGTGCTTCACAGCAAGGTTGTGCTGCTGAGTGTGCACGCGCATGTGCCTGTACGCATAGGCGTGTGTATGTGATGGCACAGGAAGAGATGGGAGAGAGCCCGGCCTTCCAGTCTTCCAGTCTTGTGCACATCGTGAGGAGAGCACAGGGCTGAGCTAGCGCCTGCTCTGTGAGCTGACCCTTCGGAGTGAAGCGCAGCAATAAGCAAAAGATACATGGCTCAGTGTGTGTGTGATTCTACTTAATAGTTACTCTTTGGGTGTGTAAAAAAGTAGTTTTAGTAGTCCTTTGTGACACTTACATTACATAGCCTCTTTACAACTCAATATATTACTTGTCCTTAGCTTTAAAAGTTCTATTTTCCAGCCAACCCTCAAGCGTTGATGCTGATTGCTGCGCACCAGACCAGTGTTACCTGCTGCTGCTCTGTATTTATTTTCATTTGTTGAACTTGCTGCAGTAATGGGGCTTCCTGTCAGGGTTTGGTGGGATGTGTTAATCCCCCACATGCAAGTTCTCAGTCTTTGTACCTCCAGAATAGAAACATCTTTTCTTGATAAGTACTTCTTCCCTAAATCATAGAAAGAGTTTCCCTGAGTCTGGGCTTACCCTGATTTTTTTCTGTTCGGGGTCCGTATGTCATCAGTGAGTGGCTGGGGAAGTAGCTCAGTGGTGGAGCACTTGCCTAGCTTGTGTGAAGTTTGATCACCAATGCTGTGAAAGCAAACAAAATTACCCCCAAAATTCATGGGTTGAGTGACTGTAAGGTATTTTACACCATGCTTTCTTGGCACAGGGATGTGGGGCTTCCACGATCGGGACTTGGCACTGAGGAAATCCTTGTATGCACTGATGGAAAAGGGAGCGGAGAAGGAGGCATTGAAAAGGCGCTGGAGGTGGCAGCAAACACAGCAGAACAAAGAGGTAGGAGAGTGCGAGGGGAGCACCTTGTTCACCACAGTTAACCTGTTGCTAAAGTTACCTAGTGCTGAGCCAGTGGAAGGGTTGCCAGGTGCCTACGATCAGTGTGGGTGCCCTATAATCCTGCAGTCGTAACAGCTACAAACGCCTTCTGATGCAGCCATGAGAGAGAGCCACGGGGGAGCCCACACCCAGAGAGGGTTAGTGAGCATTGCTCTGCACTCGCTGGGAACTCAGTAGTGGCAGTATTTTGCAAAATGAAGTACAATTCAGTAGAACTTTTGTTTGTTTGTTTGTTTGCTTATAATAAGGCTAGATTAGTTTTTAAGGATTTATGTTTTCAGTTCTTAGAGAACTGTAAATGCTCTTTTTTGATACATGACATTGATTTTCATTTACTGTTTTGGGTTGATTAGAATTTTTAAAAGTATACCTATTAAATTGATTTTGAATGTTATTGGCCAGGGATTTGGCAAAAGGTGAGGTTACTTTTATTTATATATTTATTTTGTTTGTTTGTTTGTTTGTTGTTTGAAGATTTTTACTGTGTTCCGTTCTGTGCCATTCCAAAACTGAACACCAGGCATAAAAGGATTAAACACATTACTGGAGCTGAAGTCTCTAAATAGGTGACTAGGAGTAAATGAGGTCACACGAGCCTGGAGAATCTACGCAGTGACCAAGTAGCGTAGGTACAGCCCTGAAGCTTCTTAACATTCATTATTGCTTAGTATTCATTAATTTTAAAAAATGCTTTGATAAGCTTGTAATTGCCCAAAAAAGTATGATTGTTAAGATAATCACCGATGAAGCCAATTCACTAGGTTGTGAGTGTTACCGGACTTAACAATGATCTAAAAACATAGAAACCTCCTCCAAGCCTGCGCACCTGCCGAGGTTACTTTTATATAAGAAAATAGACTGGGTGTGATAGCACATCCTGTCATCCCAGCACTCTGAGAGGTGGGGCAGGAGTTTGACAAGTGTGAGCCCAGCTTGGGCAATTTAATGGACCTTATTTCAAAATAAAAGTAAGAGGCAGGGGGACTAGCTCAGTGTGAAGGCCCTGCTTCAGTCTTCGGTGCTGAGAAGGAAGGAAGAGAGGGCAGGAGGGAGGGAGAAAAGAAGGTAGTATTTGTACATTCCATCTCCTTAACAGGAGTTGGACAAACTCTGATTGTTTTCATTAAAAAAAATGTATTGAAACAGCTGTCTATTGTGTTTATATTTACAAATGTGTACCTGCTTTCTTTTTAGGCTCTGTGGGAGCCTAAAGTATTTACAACCTAGCTCTCTGTAAGAAAAAGTTGGCTGATCCACTATTCCCTTTAAGAATGACATTATACACTTCCATGAGGATAATCAGCCTCCCTGTTTCCTTGGCTGCTTGTTCTCTCCCTGTCATCCATATTTACCCCCCTGCTTTTCATGTATATCTGCTTTTTGCCATGCTTTGGTGTGTTTATGGGAATGCTTTGTTGTGAATATGGGAATATCTTTTTAGAAGCTTTCCTTTTTGTTCATTTTTATTTTCTCCTTTTATTGCTCCATCATAACCGGCAATAATATAGATCTAAGAATTTTTTGGTGGGTGTGGTGGCATGTACCTATAATCCCAGTACTCTGGGAGGCTGAGGCAGGAAGATCACAAGTTCAAGCCCAGCCTTGGCAGATGAACAACTTATACAGACTAGTCTCAAAATTTGTTGAAAAAAAAAAAAAATGGTGAGGATGTAGCTCAATATAAAGGACTTGGGTTTAATCCCCAGTGCTGGAAAAAAAAGATCAGTTATTTAGAATTTTATGGCCTGAAGATTTAAAATATGTAAATAAGAATGTATTATGTTTATTTCTCCAAGAACAAATATTCCAGTTATTAAAAGTAGGATGATAGTAGATCATATCCTGTCCTAGATCAGCTAATTTGCCCCAGGAATATATTAATAGGGGGAGGGCATATTCATAAATATTAATAAACGACATTCCTTATTAACACGGAAGGCTAGGCTTAACCTCGGGGGAATCTTCTTTTGCCTGAGCTAGAACCAGACTAGAATAGAGCCCAGTCAGTAGTTGGCCTTTACCTTTTTCACTGTTGAATTTAGACCTTACTTGAATCTTAGATTTGACCACTGAAAGGACGAAAAAAGGTCAAACCAGATCATGCCAGATAATGAGTGGAAATGATAGCAACAGTCAAAATAGCTGTATCCGATTCCATTTACTAAATCTATTATAGTTACTATTCTAAAATAAGATTAGATTAGATTATAATACTGTCTAACCAGGAGACAGAAATACTTTAGTTCTATCCTGGGTAGCTGCCCTTCCCTCCCATCCCTCCAGTGGATGGGTAACACGCACAGAGAGTAGCAGCTAATGAGTGAGCGATCATTTTACTCCTTTTGCTCTGCTTGGTAAAAGTTCATTTAGATTTTCTCCCACTCGGAAGTAGGAGTGGAAAGAGGAGGACGATGACTGAGGGGCTTCTTTTAGCTTCCTAATACCTAACACCAAATTAAATTATTTTTGATGTCCCAGGCCTCCTTGTTTTGTGTTAGAATTGGTGGTAAAGCCCAATAATAAATAAGGCCAGAAGTATATGCCACCTAGTGGTTACGGTATGAAAATATGAGCAGAACTAGCCGAGAGTCAGATCTCTGGTGTTGCTTGTATCAGAGTGACCAGAGCTCCTCTATATATGCAACCTGGGGCCAGGGACTTAGCTCAGTGGTTCCGCCACCTGCCTCATAAGCGTAAGGGCCCGTGTTCGGTCCCCGGTACCAAAAAAACAAAACAAAGCATATATGCAACCTGTGTGGTGTTCTTTTACTTGTAATTGAGATAATATCTGTGATAGCATTTTACAAATTGAAAATAGCTATGTCTTCTTAAATTATTAAAGTAAAATGTTAAAATACACCCACAATAACACTTTAATTCCTATTAAATGTGTTCCTGATTCCTCTCCTGCTTCTAATAAGAGACCTTGCTCTCTGTCAATGTGTGCTTCAGCAGTGTACACTCAGCTTTAATACTAATGTAAGCCAAGTAAAAATTAGTACGGTAAACTTGTCTCAAAGCTGGATGTGGTAGCACACACCTGTAATCTCAGTACCTAGGAGGCTGACAGGAAAACTGTAGGAGTTCAAGGTCAGCATGGACTACACAGTGAGATCCTGTCAAAAAAACAAAACAAAACAACACAACCACAACAAAAACCCAAAATAAAATAAACACAAAAAGCAACTTGGCTCTCAAATCATAATATGCATCCTAAAGCCAATACAATATTTTTAATCGTTTGTTACCACTACGCACGCTCCTTTAATAAATCTCATGGTTTTAAGCCAGATGTGGTGGTACATGCTTCTAAGCCCAGCACTGTGGAAGGCTAATGCAGGAGGATCACAAGTTCATGTCCAGCCTGCACTCTGATCAACTTGGACTCTGTCTCAAAAGTAAAGGGCTGGGAATGTCCAGAATGATGGAGCACCCTGGGTTTAATCCCCAGTACCCCAACAGAAAAAACAAAACAATCTTACTTAGCCTGTATTTATTGATTACTGATCATGCAGGAGGCACTGCTAAACTTGGTCCTGGCTCCCAAGAGAAAAATAGTAGGCGATGGACCTGTCAATAAATAATTGCAACAAAATGTAACAGCTGTGACTTCTAGTTTAGAAGCCTTAAGTAGCAGCTGGAGAGGTAGGACACAAAGGAGGGAAAGGGTAAGGGAGATTTAGGAAAGACCTCATAGGGAAGTGATAGTTGAGTTTTGTCCTGAAAGATAAGAAATAGCTTATCAAGTACATAGGGAGTGGGTTGCTCCAATCTGAAGGCACTTAGACAAAAGGTGGGAGCTCTAAGACACATTTTAGGACTACTAGAAGTGGGGAGGGGCCAGAAAGTGGGCTTTGTAAGGAGTTTGAGCTGTGTCTAATAGGCAGTGATGATTCTTTTGTTGTTGTATGAGATAGGGCTGTCGTGAGCCGGCGACGCAGAGCACTGTCCAGCAGTGTCTCAAACCTGAAAGAGCAGCGGGGTGGAGATGGGGCAGAGAGAAAGGAAGGGACGCCAAGACAAGAGTCTGATCAAGGCGACGTTTATTGCAGGCAGGCATCAGCCTTTTAAAGGAAAAGACCGAACTATTATGGGCTAGGATTACCATAGTAACCTCCACACCCGCTCCACGGGAACGAGGGTTCACACGGGCAAGAGAAAGCAGGCTCAAGAAAAACAAATTAACAACACTTGCAACTAATAATCATGATTCCCAAATAGGTGGAGGAACTTAACAAAATGGAGTTACAACACCTGACTCCTACAGATAACATCAGATCTTTAACAGGAAGCACCTGACTCCTACAGGTCGTTGGCTGTCCGAGTTTCTCCCGTGCAGGGTCAAAACAAGTTTAACACGTGTAGTCCTTAAAAAGGAACAAATGTTGTCTTTCAAAAAGCCAGTGGGCCATGGCTGGCTTCCCACAATAGGGCCATGCTGTATACTTCAGGCTGACCTTGAACTCACTGTGTAGCCTAGCCTGGCCTCGAACTCGTGGAGATCCTCTTGCCTCAGCTTCCCAAGTACTAGGATTACAGCTGTGCGGCACTGTGCCCAGCACAATGATGATTCTTAAAGAAAGGAGTGTTTAGCAGGAAGAAGACATCAGAGTTAATTTTTTTTTAGTAAACAGAATTTCTTTTTTCTTGTGCACTGTAGACGAGCACATAAATGGAGGTAGTAAAACCAGTTAAGGTGCATTGTAGTAGTTTCTGTTTAATAATTGTTGACTGAGCGGCCGGGGATTTAGTTCAGTGGCTCTGCGCCTGCCTCACAAGCACAAGGTCCCAAGTTCGATCCCCAGTATCAAAAAATTGTTGACTGAAGGGATCTAGATGTGGGTGGGTAAAAGAAAGATAACTCCTTGGTTTCTTGTTTGAGCGTTTGAGTGGTAGTGCTACTCACTCATAAAGGTGGGAATATAGGTAGAAGAATGAGTTTTTAGAAGAGACGGTAGTTCCATTTTGACTATATACAGAGTTTAGATAGCCATGGGCAGGTAGCAGGATTCATTAGACTGCTGTACATGTGAACGTAGAAATTAAGAGGATGTCTGGGCTAGAGAGGGGATTTTAAAGACATAACATATAGATGGTGGTGGATAAAATTGTGGCAGTTGTGGAGATCACCCAGAGGGCAGCAAGGCTGAACTCATTGGCTCACCCCCAATTTGGGGGGAGCAGCAAGAAAGAGTTCACAGAAATAAGAGAAGGTGGCATTGTGGAAGCTAAAGGAGAAGATTGTTTAAAGAGGAAGATAAACCACACGAAGGCTAAGAAAGATGAGAGCCAAAGAGTACAGTAAATTTGGTAATTTTGTTCATTGTTGTCCTTTGCCAGAGTCAGGTTGGTGTAGTGTGTGCGGGGCATAGGATGCCGGGCAGAAGCAGAGCCAGGTTGCCGACAAACCGGAAGAGAGTAGAAGATGGAGTGTGGGAGAGCCCACGGGCTGCTCCTCACGGACCTCACCTGTGAAAGGCGCGGAGCTTCGCCTTTGCATCACAGGTGTAAACCGAGTGCTCGCAGAGTGGGGAGTGGCAGCAGTGAGTGAGTCGGAGTGGTGTTGCCTCTCAGAACCTGGCCTCTGATTGCTTGATGTCCCGGCCTGTCTCTCACAGTCAGGGCTGGTGTACACAGAGGAAGAATGGCAGAAGGAGTGGAACGAGCTGATCAAGCTTGCCTCAAGTGAGCCGCGAATGCACCTCGGTACCAATGGAGCCAGTGGCGGAGGGTGAGTAAGGCTAAGTGAGGCAGCAGGAAACAAGTCTTTTTTAGGGTCCTCACTGGACTGAGATCCCGTGGTAAGGGGGTGTTAGAGGAAAAGAGAGGAGCCATGGTGTGGGCACAGAAACGTGTAACTGCGCAGAATGTCCTAGGACTTGGGCAGTTCCTTGGGTGTTCCAGGCTGGGGAACGAAGTACAGAGTGACGGCCGAGGCTGGGCCGTCCCCGTGTGCCGTGCTGGTTTCTCTTGTACCATGTAAAGCAACAGATTCAGGTCCCATCTAGACTGGGAAACTGGGACAGATGACTCGGTGTCTTCAGTAGATGGAATTGCATGGAAAATTTAAAAAAGAAAGGACAAGGAAGTATAGGTTTAAAGACAATAAAACATACCAACCAGATGGAGAGTGTGGACATTTAAAAGACAGGAAAGCGTGAGCAATGTCTACGTGTTTGGTTTTTTAGAGATAGAAACTGAAATGTATATGGATGAAATAATACAATGTTTAGGATTTGCTTCAAAATAATCCAGCAGAGTGGGAGTGGGAAGGGATAAGCAAATAGACCAAAGTGTAAGTGAAACAGAATTGGCCACTTGTTCATTACTGTTGAAGCAGAGTGAAGCAGGAGAATTTAGTGTAATTTCTTTGTTTGTTTCTTTGTTCGGGGATTGAACCCAGGGTCTTGGACGTGCCAAGCTCCTGCTGTACTCCTGAGCTGCCCTCAAACCTTAAATTTCACGCTAGTATGCAATGTGTTTAAAATTTTGAAGTTTTCCCTTAGTAGAAAGTTAAAAATTAAAATCTCTCCAAACTTCATTATATACAAGAATAATCTGGGAGAGCTGTTTAAAACGCACCTTTCTGGACCTCTACCCCAAGAAAGTTTAGCTGAGTTGGAATGAGGTAAGGCCCCAAAATCCCAAGTTTGTAATAAGTACCCAGTGTCTGTTATCATTGTTTTGGGGTCCGGTGGGGGTGCTAGGAGGTTTTAAGAACAGGAGTGACAGGAGCCGCGTGTGGTGGTACACGCCTGTGATCCCAGTGCTCTGGAGGCTGAGGCAGGAGGATCGTGATGCATTTGAGGCCAGCCTGGGTTATATTGTGGGTTCAGGGCCATCCTGAACTACAAAGAGAGACCCTGCCTCAAAACAAACAGAAGAACAGGAGTGACAGGAGCCGCGTGTGGTGGTACACGCCTGTGATCCCAGTGCTCTGGAGGCTGAGGCAGGAGGATCGTGATGCATTTGAGGCCAGCCTGGGTTATATTGTGGGTTCAGGGCCATCCTGAACTACAAAGAGAGACCCTGCCTCAAAACAAACAGAAGAACAGGAGTGACAGGAGCAAATTGTGCATTTGAACGTGTGACACTGGAGCAGATAACGAGGCGGGTGGAGAGAGTACAGGCAGTCATAGGAATAATCCAAGCAAGGGCCCTGAGTGTGAACAGGGTGGTAGACTGGAGACAGGTCAGAGGACAGGTACGAGAGACGTATCTGGTCTTTTACACATGGGAAGAGGACCAAGAGATGGAGGAAGGGAGCAGGAGGGAGAGGAAGGGGCCCTAAAGAGAATTTAGGTGTGTTATGTACATGTACCAGTTGGCCACCATGAATCATCATGTATGCAAACATGTACTAATAAAATAAAAGTATTTTAGGGCCAGGGATTTAGCTCAGTGGTTCCGCTGCCTGCCCCGCAAGTGCAAAGATCCGAGTTCGATCCCCGGTACCAAAAAAACAAACAAAAAAAACAAACAAAAAAAGAAAAATAGAACAGTGACTGTTTCTCCAGTGTCTGATTAAGCTCCTGGCCAGGGGTGAAAGTCCTTAAGAGAGGAGTTGGGGCGTCTTTTTGCATGACATGCGGTGGTTGTGCTGGGTCCAGTAAGCAAGACAGGACCAGTGCTGTTGTGTATTCGGCTGCTGGATAGAGGATGGGGGAGGTTGTTGAGCGGGATGAATGTTAAGAGATGAGGATCGCCTCAGGATTCCTAACGACTGTAACCCTAGGGCCTTCGCATTCTCTCTTCTTAGATTTTCCCACTGGAGAAATGGAAGTAGAAGCAGCCACGATAGTGTAAAATAATCAGTTTTGTCAGTGGTAGCCTTAAGTAAATTGTGAAGCCAGGAAAAGACACTCCTACTTTCCTTCTCTTCTGAACTGGTCTTCAGGGCTCTCTCCTTTTGTTTTCTTCCCTCTCCCTCCTTCTGTTCCCCTTCCACTCTCCCCTGGGCAATTCCAGGGTGGAGAGCTCAGAGGAGCCTGTGTACGAGAGCCTAGAAGAGTTCCACGTCTTCGTCCTCGCTCATGTGCTCAAGAGGCCGATAGTCGTCGTGGCAGACACCATGCTGAGGGACTCTGGCGGGGAAGGTGAGTCCGCCAGTCAGTGCTCGCTGCACCCCAGTGCCACCCCCAGCGCCCCCAGTTGTTTGGCTAAGCCCTGCGGGGAGGGCAGGAAAGCAGGATATGTGGACACTCGGAGGAAAAAGTATGAACTAGAGCAATGCAGAATTCTTAAGAGACACAGTAAAACCACTGGGATTAATTGACAGGGCTTCTTAGGGAAGAATTATTAAACAAGTTGGAATGAAAAGGGGGGACTGGGTTGGCAGGGAGAGGTGGACGGATTGCTCAGAGGTAAGAGTGTATCTTAGTGATGGTCTTGGTCTCCTGCAGCGTTTGCTCCTATTCCCTTTGGGGGAATCTATCTGCCCTTGGAGGTCCCCATCAGCCAGTGTCACCGATCTCCTCTGGTGCTCGCCTATGATCAGGCCCACTTTTCTGCGCTTGTGTCCATGGAGCAGAAGGAGAATGCCAAGGAACAAGGTGCCGGATACAGTGTGTGTCTTAGTATTGTTTGTTCTGCGTTGTTTTCACTTGGTGAAGGGAAAATGAGAGCTGATGTAGGAGGAAAGGATTAAAAGTATATGCAAACCGAGATGATACATGTTAATACTGCTTAATTAGGTCTTCTTTCTCTTCTTTTCTCTTGTTTGTTTTGGTACCAGGAAACAAACTCAGGGCCTTGTGTTTGCCAGGAAAGCTCTGTGCTACTGAGCTACATCCCACGCCCTGTTTGTTTTTTGTTTTTGTTTTGTTTTGTTTTTTGAGACAGGGTCTCACTATGTAGAGAGACTGACCTAGAACTCACTATGTAGCTCAGGCTGGTTTCAAACTCAGCGATCCTCCTGCCTCAGCCTCCCGAGTGCTGGGATTACAGGCGTGCACCACCATGCCCGGCCCTGTTTGTTTTTTGAGATAGGGTCTCCCTATGTAGTTCAGGCTGGCCACTCGCTCACGGTGATCCTCCTGCCTCAGCCTTCTGAGTGCTGGGATTACAGGCATATGCCACCATGGTTTTCATTTAATCAAAAAAAAGAGATCTTGGGGGGGGGAAACAGCCTATTCTGGAGTAAGAGGCTTATGCATGAAGGTTGTAGGACCTTCCAAGTGATGCTTTGCTGCGTTTATCTTAGTGACTTTTGAATTCTCTGAATACACACAACTGGCAAGAACGTGATGGAAGTTAGACCGACTGGTGGGGAGTTGCAGAGATTAGTGGCCTACATCGTATGCTGGGTGGTAAGGGAAAAGTAGTAGCCTATGGGGTTTTTTTTTCTCATTAATTTTATTGGTACATTTTAGATAAGGCAGTATGCTGACATTCATTATTGGGAATTTGTACCTTTATGTAATATATCTTGGTTCTGCCTATTGGCTTTTTTTTGGGGGGCTGCCCGGGATTGAACTCAGGACCTTGTGCCTGTGAGGCAGGCAGCAGAACCACTGAGCTAAATCCCCGGCCCGCCTATTGGCTTTTATTGTTAGGGTAGTTTACCTGCAGGAATCGAGACATGCCTACAGTTAGAGACCTGTGTACAGATCAGTCTGTGTTCCGATGTCCTGCGGAGAGTCACCCTGACACCTGTGTTTCTTTTCCTCCTAGCTGTGATCCCACTCACAGACTCAGAGCATAAGCTGCTGCCCTTGCACTTTGCAGTGGATCCAGGCAAGGGCTGGGAGTGGGGCAAAGATGACAATGACAATGTCCGATTGGCCAGGTGAGGCAGGCCCAGCCTTTCCATCTGCTTTGTAGCTGGGATCTCTTCCACGTGTGGCAGCCACATTGTGGGGAGTTTTCCTTAGCTCAGAAGCAGTGCACTCGCATTCTGGTTCCACTTGGTTTGAGAAGACGGAGAGGTGCGAGCCAGGTTGGGCACCGGGACTGTTGCATCTTGTAGCAGCTTTGTCTTTCTGTGACTGTTACAGGGGTCCTGGAGTCTTAGCTTATTCTTTTTTTATGGTGGGAAGAGTGGTCTTGCACTGATAAACCCCAGAATCCCCCAAAAACAGTCATCAGAAAATCAAGCAAATCAGGTCACACTTTTTGTCTCAGCTGATGTGAGGAGTTCTAAATAGTTGACCGAAATAGTTTGCTCTGGGTTTTTCTCTTTCTGGAATTTAAGCAGCAAGAAAAACACATTCCCTCTACTTCCATACCGACCCCCATCCTGCTTCCTCCTCACGCCCTCCACAACTTCCCGGCAGACAGCATAGGAATATGAAGTTCTTCCCTTCTCTTGTACCTGGTGCTTGCTGTTTTGGGCTTTTGCTCATTTGGGAGCTGCCTAACTGGGTTTGATTTGAAATTCCAGTTACGGCTTTTTAGAAATAAGCTCTCACCCAATTATCAAAACCTCCTTCTAAATAATACTTACAACAACAGTAGTAACAGTGACTAGTGTTTAGTATTTCTTACTTTTCAGACATGGTGCTGACCCCTTTCCAAACACTTTTATTGTAATCTCCACAACAATGCCACAGGGTAGATACTGTTATCGGTACCCATTACCACCCCCAGCTGCATTTCAGGGGGATTGAAATGACTTGGTCAAGATCACAAAGCTATAATTCATACTCAGTTTTGAATCCTAAGGTATGTAGGACTCAATTCTCCTTCCCAACTATGTCACAATGCTTTTCTTTTAAATATGGTCACAGTAATTTTTAAGTTCTTTTTGTCTCCTTTCCACAGTGTAATTCTGTCCCTGGAGGTCAAATTGCATCTGCTGCATAGCTACATGAATGTGAAGTGGATTCCACTGTCCTCTGATGCACAGGTAAATGTGTCTCCCACCCCTGTCCTCTGTGTCCTCACATTCAGTGACAGGGACAGCAGAGGGACCTGGAGGTGCTTGTCTTTTGAATCTCTCCTTAGTTTAGCTTATGAGTCAGGGTTAGGAGTAACTGAAAGGTGTCAGATCAGTTCCAAGAATTGTTTTTCCTGCCTTTTTACCTAATAGTCCCCCTGTGGTCCACATCTCTCCAACCAGGCTCTGCTTTTGCACTCTGCCCCTCCCACCACCCCCAGCAGCGCTACCAAGCTGGGATCAAACCCAGGGCTTTGTGCCTGCCGGGCCAGTGCCTGAGTTATAGCCACATCCCTAAAAACATTCTTTAAGGTTTTCTTGACTTTTTCCAGCAAAGTTGAGATTGCCATTGCTTTTTCTCAAGCTCTCTGTGGATGGACCTCTGTTAGGGCCACCAGAGGAGGTGCAGTATCTGAAGCAGTTCCTTGTCTTGTGGGTTCTGAGCTGGAACAGGGACATGGGAGCAAGGGCAAACTTACGACTTCCAGAGTGCTGAATAACTCAAGGTTGGGGGATGCAAAACGGTCAGGCTTAGATGGTTGTGGTTAGTCAAGACTTCTTTGAAATTAATTTTCAATGGGATTTGACACAGAGATATTTATAGTAAACATTTTGGTATCTCTGAAATACTCCCCATCCTCAGCCAGAGGCTGTGTGTTTACGTGGTTGCTCCTTGATCTGAAGAGCATTGGGCTTCATTTCAGTATCTCCTTGCTATAAAAGGGAGTCCGATTGCTGTGCGTGAGATAAAAGTCAGATGTTACGTTTGTCTTTCCTTGACCCATGAGGAGCTGACTGGAGCCACAGGACGGTGTCCTCCCAGGTGGCCTTCCTTTGTCATGACAACAGTCCTGCTCTGGAGCTGGGCAGCCACTCCAAGGACAGCGTGTGAAGGGCACTCACCATCCCCCGTCCTGTCCCTAGAGCAGTGGCAGCAGGGAGCCCTGTGAGCTGATGGACGTCCTCGCGTTCCTGGGGCCCTGCACTGTCTTAGCCTTGGAAAACTGTCAGCCCTGTTCTGGTGTCTTCCAGGCTCCTCTGGCGCAACCTGAGTCCCCCACAGCATCAGCTGGAGATGAGCCTCGGTCTACGCCTGAGTCTGGGGAGTCAGACAAGGAGTCAGTTGGCAGCAGTTCTGCCAGCAATGAGGGCAGCAAGCGGAAAGAGAAGTCCAAGCGAGATCGGGAGAAGGACAAGAAGAGAGCAGATTCCGTGGCTAACAAACTCGGAAGTTTTGGCAAAACCTTGGGCAGCAAGCTCAAAAGGAACATGGGAGGCCTGATGCACAGCAAAGGCTCCAAGCCCGGAGGGGCGGGGGCCGGGTCAGGGGTGAACAGTGGCACTGAGACACTGGAGAAAAAGAAGAAAAATTCACTGAAGAGCTGGAAGGGTGGCAAGGAAGAGGCAGGCGGGGATGGGCCTGTGTCTGAGAAGCCCGCGTCCGAGTCTGTTTGTAATGGAGGCAGCAAGTATAGCCAGGAAGTGATGCAAAGCCTGAGCATCATGAGGATCACAATGCAAGGGGAGGGGAAGTTTATTTTTGTTGGGACGCTGAAGATGGGTCACCGACACCAGTATCAGGAGGAGATGATCCAACGGTACCTTGCTGATGCTGAGGAGAGATTCCTGGCAGAGCAGAAGCAGAAGGAGGCAGAGAGGAAGATCATTAATGGAGGGTTAGGGAGTGGGCCTCCCCCAGCCAAAAAGCCAGAGCCAGATGGTGGGCAGGAGCAGCTGACTGTGGCCCCTGGAGAGTCCAGGGCAGTGGCCTTCTCAGCTGGCTACCCTGGAGGTTTTACTGTCCCTCGGCCCTCTGGGGGTGGAGTCCACTGCCAGGAACCCAGGAGGCAGCTGGCAGGGGGCCCGTGTGTGGGGGGGCTACCACCATACGCCACCTTCCCCAGGCAGTGCCCTCCTGGGCGACCTCACCCCCACCGGGACAGCGCCCCACCTCTGGAGCCAGGCGTTCACGCCAAGGATGGAGTTCCCAGGGGCGCGGCGCTGCCACCCCACTTCCGCGTGGCTGATTCCTATAGTAACGGCTACAGGGAACCCCCTGAGCCAGACGGATGGGCTGGAGGTTCCCGGGGGCTTCCCCCAACCCAGACCAAGTGCAAACAACCGAACTGCAGCTTCTATGGACACCCTGAGACAAACAACTTCTGCTCTTGCTGTTACAGGGAAGAACTGAGGAGGCGGGAACGTGACCCTGGTGGGGAGCTGCTGGTGCACAGATTCTGAATGGTGGGACCTTTGAGGGCAAGGGGGCTAAACAAAGTTAAGCTTGACTCACTGGCTTGTTGAGGCCCAGCCCCATGTTGGTGGGGCAAATGCATAAATGTTTGTGCGAGCCTGGCTGGGAACTTTTAAGTGTGCGCGCTGGAGTGCTTGCCAGGCTGGTGAGAGCGCGTAGGGCTGGATGGTGCCCAAGGGCTGCACTGCTCTGCAGAGCTTGATGTGGTGGGACTCAGGAGACACGAGAGAGTGGGAGACGGTGATTCCATCTCGTAACGCCTTGGGTCCCGTCCTAGAACCTGAGGAAAGCAGTGGGGGAAGGTTTGGTGTGCGGGGTGGGAGGTGGAACAGGTAAAGGAGGTTCTCAGGTAGTTAAAGACAAGACAGACCGAAGTTCTCAGGTTCAAAAAACACGGTGATGGAGTTGAGAGTGTGATTGGACAGATTCACTATCGACTGTAGTAAGACCTAATCAGGGTTGAGTAAATTCTTCTGAAGGATGTGGAAAGGCAAGGCAGTATCGTGTGTGCTCTTGGGTACTTGTTAGGAAAAGGAAGTAGTTAAAATCCCAGTTTATGGAGATGAGAAAGGTAGGAACTTCAAAGGGCATTCTTTCCCTCTTAAGTTTTACTTCCTTCTGCAGTCATCTGTCACCCACGCTAGTTGGAGAAGACGCAGCGGACAGCCCCTGTCTTTTCCTCATCCTTTTTGAAGGGTGAGCTCAGCTAAATTAAGGAGGGCATGATTTCTTTAAAAACACATTTTATTTTTAAAAAGTTTCCTCTGAGAAAAGAAGACAGCAGTGAGAAGAAGAGCTGTTTCCTTTGAGTTTTCTCCAGGTGAATGGGTGCAGTGATTGGTTTTTTAACTACTTAGCAGTAACCATGCCCGAGTTTGAGTGTGCAGTACCTTGGGACAGGTTGGGGACGGACAGACATTAGGCCTGACTGTTTGAAACCAAACCAAAAACCTACATAAAGCACTACCATCTTCTGCTGCTGTTTCTGTAGAAAGCAACTTATTTTATTGACTAATTTTTTTAAGAAAAAGAAACAAAAAAATCCCAACAAAAACATTTTAAAAAATTATTATTTTTTTTCCTATTTAAATGATTCCTTCTCCTTCCTCTCTACGTTTGGAGAATGAACTTTAACATCCCGGCTTCTTTTGTTAAGCCATAGTTGACCTTAATCTGTGGTTAGTTTATTAAAATAATAAAATAATAATAATAATAATAATAATAGTAGTAGTAATAAAATACTTTGTAAGAAAAGATATTTTTGATATTAGGATTGATGTTGAAATATAGACTGGGGGTTAGGGGAATTTATAAAATGGTAGTTAAGAAAAATATATTTTAGTGAACTATAACCACAGATCACATATTATTCCTCATGAGCTGATCTGTCTGGATTTCTCCTTCCCCGGTCTCAACCCTGTCTTCCAGAGGGTAGGGGTGGGGATGTGGACACAGTAGGGGGAACCCCTTTGTGTTTTGCGCAAAGCACAAGTCTGGACAGCCTGTGCTCTGGCCAGAGCCGTTTCTAAGAGCTTTAAACCAGACATATCCTGGGCCAATTTTTCTTTATGTTTTTTTCTGGTGGAAAACACAACAAACTATGCAATTATATACACTCCAGGGTGCATATAAAGAATGGGAATAAGTGCACTTAAGTGTCCAGAATGTTACTGGGGCTGTTTTTCTGTACTTGGGTTTCTGTGTTGAGGCGTGTACTAATCACGGTCCCACAGATGAAATCCCCACATCGGATCTAGGGCGCACACGGTGTGAGTGTGAGTGTGAGGGTGGGTGTGGGCAGAGGCACTTACTCGCGTGTGTTCATCTGCCCAGTCAGGAAAGTTTTCATTTCATCTTCCCCTTGGTAAAAGCAGCGAAGACCTTCTCACTGTGCAACTACTCAGTTTGAAAGGTTCTTTTCTCCTTAACAGACTTGAAAGTCATTTATTTTCCAAGTCTGCTGGTCTGCTGATGTAATCACTTCATGTGGCTATGAATTCTTAGGCTTTTATTTGACAGCAGTTTAGTTTTAGGGAAGCAGTTAGGCTCACAGGAGATGTGTGTATTTGTGGGCAGAGCTGGCATCTGAGACAAGCACTCCCTTTAGGTGCAAAATTTTAAAAGGGTGCTCAGTAATCAAGATCCTACTTGAAAAAAAAATTCAGAACTTTAAAAAATCAATGTCAAAAATCCGTGTTCAACACATTATCAAAATTTTAAAGACAGGATCTTACAGGTCCAGATTAAGGTGTGGGAAGCAGTGGATTGAGCAAGTACAGGGATGCTTCCTGTCTTTATTTACATTTTTGATGAGTTGTTCATCATGAGTTCTACATTACTTTTTATTTGTAATGCATATAGCACCAAAAGAGTGGTTCTTGGGTTTTTAAGCATCCCTCGTTTTGTACCCTAGGTGAATGCCTTGTTCATGTCACCCTGATCATTCCCATTTCTGGGGTTCGAACCACACTGGTGAGACCACCTCGTGAGCCTCCACCCCTTTCCCTGCACTCAGACCACACCATGGATGTGCGCAGTTTGGTTTGCTCCCTCGGGACTTGGGGGCGGGCCTGGCCTGGACCAAGCAGAAGGCGACAGCGACGACCAGGGCTTTCCCAGAAAAGAAACCAAGGAGCGCGCTTGCTTCTCCCCTGGACGGCTGTTTGGACTTGATCTGTTACTAGATTCTACTTAACACTTCTATTTTTAAAAACAGGACAAATGAACAAGAACAGGAACTTTGTATTGTGTTTGTTTTTATTTATAAATTATTGAATCCCAATCCCTTTGCCCTCCAAAGGAAAAAGAGAAATTCAAGGGAGGGGAAAGGGAGTCCTAGGGTGAATATGATTAAAATAGGCTTTGGGCCTTATACCTTTTTATTAATAAATTATTTTTTACTTGAGAAGGTAACTGTTAAGGCTTTGGAAAACATTCTAAGGATGAGGGACCTTGAGACAATGTATATTTTAAAAATAGGGACTAGTGAAGTTTGTTTTGCGTTGTTCTTTTGAGTAGGGTTTGGGTAGGATGGGAAATCAAGGTAGACAGGGATCGCTTTGTGGTATTTTGGGAAGATGAGGAATGGGATCGGCAGCTCTCTGCAGGAGCATGTTTAGGACAATGGCGAAGAGGGTTACCTGGCGTGTACTCAGTAAAACCTTGCTGCTGGGCGAGGTGGTGCACACCTGTGAGACAGCACTGGGAAGGCTGAGGCAGAAGGATCGCTGCCAAATAGAAGGCCAGTGTGGGGTACATAGGGGGTTCAAAGCCAGCTGGAACTACAGCGAAACCTTGTCTCAAAAAAGCACAGCAAACTTCCTTGGTCCAAGAGAGGTATGTGAGGGAGGGGGGACTCTATCCCTGGGGAAGTATGACATCTCTCAGGTTTAAATTTAAGTGCACTTAGTTCCTTTAATCCAGGGCACCTGAGGTACCTACTGAAGTTCTTAATGGAAAGGGGAGATTTTCAGGGTTCTTTTCCCCCCTTCTGTGACTGCTATCCCTTCATGCTATATTCTTTATCCCATCCCCAGTGGAGCAAATATACTACAGGGTAAGCCTTCAAATCCTCTGCTGGTTTTATTTAGGGCTACAAGAGTCAACTATAAGTCTCACCTCATGCTGATAACGTGTGTGTGTGTGTGTGTGTGTGTGTGTGTGTGGTACCTGGGCTCGAACTCAGGACCTTGCCCATGCCAGGTAGGTGCAGTGCCACAGAGCTAAATCCCTGGATGATAGTTTTTTAAGGGAGTCTCCGATGGGTGTGGTGGTACATGCCTGTAATTCCAGCACTTAGGAGGCTGAGGCAGGATTGCCTTAAATTTGAGTCAGTTTGAAGTGCGGTAGCAAGAGCCTGTCTCAAGAAAAGAAAAAAAAGGTTGAGACTAAGGAATAGGGATGGTGTTAATCTCAGTGCTGTGCAGGGCATTGGAATGGACGTTCCCCTCCCCCCCCCAAAGAAAAGCTCACAGAGCAATAAAACGAAAGTTGGCGATTTTGTGCTGTATCTCTGGGAAATAGAAAGAAGGGAGTCGGTTCTCAAGGACTTGGGAGAACCTAACCTTTTACTGTTACTCCTTTCAACCACATGCCCAAGGTTCCCGTCACATTTTTTTCTTAATAAAGGAACATTTCAGAGAGACGATGTCTCTGAGTTACTCTGATACCTCTGGACTCTGTGTCTTCTTTCTCCAAGGAGACAACGCCCGAAGCTTACAGCCTTGGGTAGGAAACCAGTCCCTTCCCTTCTGGGATCACCTGCTCCTCAGGTTTTTTTCATTTCCTTCTTTGTCCCCAAGCCCCTGAACTTTGGATTCAGCGAGCCATACACGGAGTCTCTTAACTTTGGAAAGACCCGGCCTCCAAATCAGTGTTTTGCCCCCAGCACTTCAGCTGATGAGCGAAATGTCACGACCCCAGTAGACCCTCCTCACCGCCTCCCTTTTTGGCCCAGTGGGCAGTGGGTGGTAGAAAGGATCAAGGAGGCTGGCTAAAAGGCAGAGGGGCGGGAGGACCTTGGCCTCTTTCCCGTGTTTAGAACTGGCCCGCGACTCACTGAGTCACTCAGCTCCACCTCCCTCCTCCTGCCTTCCCCACAGCCTGCCTCCTGGAGCAAATCTGCAGCCAGAGGAGCATTCTGAAGATGGAAAAATCTGGTGCAGCCTCCTGCCTCCGCGCCCTTCTTCCATCCAGTAAATTTGTGCCAGGGTGGAGAGGTAGTGTTCCCGTTACTTAGCTCCCAGTTGCTGCCCTCACCGCATTACTGGTTGGGTGCTGATCCAAGTCATCCAATTTATTTCTCATCCCCCTGACGTTTTTTCTTTATAGTCTGCTGTCTCGTGAAGAGTGGTGGGCAGGAGGAGAGTGAATACTGTGCTGGAATTTTAAGATTGCGGCGCACACCTTTTCCTGTGCTGTTTTTATTTTATATCACCTTGGGAGTTGTCGTCTTCCCTAGGACACAGCAGGGGAGTGAGGTGTGCTCAGTAGCCTTTGTGACTTGTGCACTCAGTCTTCTGGGCCCCTCCTAGCAGGTGTGTCCCTCTGCGTTCCACACTGACTCCTTGGCTCACAAAATTCGTTATTTCCACATTGCCCGCCAAGACTGGGAGCTTGAAAGCCAAGGCCGGAAGGGTGTGTGTGCTGGGGGAGGGGAGTTGGGAGTTGAACGTCACTGTGGGAAAATGGGCCCCCATCTAAGGATTGCTGCCTTTGTGCAGACTCGAACACGATAAAGCAGCAGCTCATTAAGTCTCGTTTGGTATTTTATTTCCTGTCTTTCTCATGCCTAAACATAGATTTTTGCATTGCTGCCCCGTCATACTGCGCTGCACCTTTGTTACTTGCTTCCACCCCCGCCCCCATCTTTGCTTCTTGGGTTGCAGGGGTGAGGGAGGGGGTTGTGATCGAAGGGAGGGAACATGAATCATTCATTGGGAGATCTGGTGTCCCGCTGGAGAGGTGGGGTCACGTATCGGCGGGCTTTCCGTGGCCCCGGGCTGGGGTGCTGGGCGGGACAGGTTCTGGGCTGGATCCTCCCGTCCGAGACTTGCGCGCGAGCGGCCTTTCTGTTTCGGCGGCGTCCGGCTGGCTCTGCCTCTCCCCGCCGCTCTGCACCCCTCGCGGGAAGTGTGTCTCACCCTGGAGGAGGAGAGACTTTGACCAGCTTGCTTCTCGATTCTTGAACCTCTCCAAATCTTAAATCCAGTTCCCATTTACTCTTTCTCAACCCCTTTTGGTAGCTCTATCGGGAGAGGCAGTAAAGAGGGCTGAACTACTTTGCATTTCTACCTTACCTCCCCCTTTTAAACAGACGCGCACACGCCCAGAACTTCCCAGGGTAAGGGGGCAAGGAAGTCAATCAACACTGAAAGTCTGCAGAGGCAGTCCCAGTCCCGTGATTGCAGTTTGATAATCAGTATTACAGCCCGTGGTGGCCCACGCCTGTAATCCCAGCCCTCGGGAGGCTGAAGCAGGAGGATCACCGCGAGTTCGAGGCCAACCTGGGCTACTTAATGAGTTTGAGGCCAGCCTGAACTCCATCCACCCTGAGATTATGTCTCAAAAAAAAAAAAAATCAGTTATTACCGCCCTCATCAGTGTCCAAAACCCATGACAGGAAGAGAGTAGGCTGTGGGATTGGGGTAAAGGAGGACGGATTTTCTGTTTCTCATTTTCCCCTCTTTCTGAGGCATCTCCATTTCCTTTCTACTTTTCCAAGATTGTGTGTATTCTCCTTTAAGGGGCTGGGCAGCTCTCCGCCCTCTCCAGAGTCGCCTGAAGTTTCCGAGGAGCCTCCCGTGGCCGGGCCGGTCACACCTTTCAGAAGACCCCCCGAACTGCGCTCCCTGCACCTCAGAGGCTTCTTCCTCTCGAGTCCTCCCACGTGCCTCTCTGTTTCATCTCCCTTTTCTCAACTGAGACTCAGCCCTTTCCCCGCGGGACTCAGCATCCTCAAGGTTTCCTACCCTTAGTGCTCCATCCCCGGATGGAGCCAGAGAAATGTGGTGGGGGGGCCGGGGCCAGAGTTTCAACATTGCCCCCCAGAAGGAGGAGCCAGAGATGGGGGTAAGGAGAGGGGCTCTGGGGGCCGGAGGAGGGGGCACGCGGATGCTGCAGAGACCGGGGAAGGGGAAGATCTGGAGCAGGAGGGTGTGTCGGCCTTTCCCCATCTCAAGTTCGGGTCTCATTACCCATTAACCAGTCCCTCCCTTTGGCGTCTGCCCGCACCGGTCTCGAGCTCCGCAGGACACAGATCTGTTTCCCGGGAGTCTGAGCGTAGGCCTCTAAAGGGGCCTCTGAGGGAATCCCAGACCCAGGGCGGGGCGGCCTGGGATCACAACTGCGCGCCCCCTCAGCTCTCTGGGCCCAGGTCCATCCGGGGAAGCAGGATGCCGGAGCACAGGAGCCGTCAGCCTGGCAGCCGCCTGGCCTCTGGATGCCTCCCAGGTAATGATCTGACCGCCTGAGAGCCTCCAAACTCACCCACCCCAGCTCTGTTTCCTGCCCTCGCTGAAGACAGCCCTGTAGTCTTTTCCTGGCCCAGCGCTAGTCAGACTGCCTTGCTTTTCTCTCCAGTCCTGGCTGAGGGTTTGGACCTCACTGTTGCCTCCCTTTTCTTGACCCATTTATTCAATAGCTGAATGTCTAATATATGTCAGGCTCCATACTATGCTCTGTTCTGGTTACAGAGGTTTAGAAAAGACTCTTTTTCCTCAAACTTATGGGTTTAGGGAAGGATTTTAATCTTCCCTTTCTATATCCTTGTCTCAGAGGAATGGGTGTATGGGGCAGCACTGCGGAGAGTCATAACTTGGCTTCCCTTCTTCCTCCTTAGGGGAGCAGATACTAGCATGGGCCCCAGGGCTGAGGAAAGGACTGGAACCCGAATTGCCTGGAACCCTGATGTGCACCAACTTCAGGGTTACCTTCTGGCCCTGCGGATGGCAGCGGAGCCAGGTGAAATGGCTAGGGCCATACACAGGACAGAGTGAAATGGGTACGGAGTCTAGGTAGATGTAGACAACAGGGTAAAGGGCTGTGTTTTGAATGCATGAGAGTCAAAGGGGGTTATATTTAAGCCAGGTATGGTGGTGCACTCCTGTGATCCCAGCACTTGAGAGGCTGAGGCAGGAGGATCGCCAAGAGTTCGAGGCCAGCCTGGGCTACAACAGCAAGCCCGTCTCAGAAAAGGAAGCGGGTGTTATTTTTAGGGGAGTTGCTCCCAGAGGGGGGTGGGGCCATCAAGGTAGAGAAAGTGGGGTTACTTCAGATGTTTGTGTCATCTTCATATGCTTCCTCTAGGACACTCCCCTGAGCAGTGAATATGATTTTGCCTTGGGCAACATTGGCCGATTAGAAGCTGGTGAGTCTGGGTTTAGCGAAGAGGGTGCTGGAACCCCTCTATGTCTTGTGCTGAGAAGATAGCAAGGGCTGGGTGGGACGAGCTGGAAGAGCTCCTCCCGGGGACCATATGGTTACCCAGCTCTCTCATCTTGACTTCAGTGAGTGGCTTGTCACGAGTTCAGCTCCTTCGTCCAGGGTCACAGCTCAAGTTTATCCCTGAGGAGATTCTGATTCACGGCCGAGACTTCCGACTGCTCAGGGTTGGTTTTGAGGCTGGAGGATTAGAACCTCAGGCCTTTCAGGTAAGGGACTCCAAACCTGAAGATGCCTCTTCTCCTCAGAACTTGGGGGTCCTCCTCCTGGCAATTCCTGACTCTCTCCCATCCTCCGGGGTCTCTCTCATCGTTCACCCTTCCGTCCTCAAGGAGAGGCTGAAAGGCTGAGAGAGGTGTATCATGAGTACAAGGGCCTGAATTCTAGCCTGGCTCTGCCAGTTACCAGCTGTGTGGCTGTTGGCAAGTTTGTGCCTCTGAAAAATGGGAAGGGTTGAATGATAGTACGCCTGAATTTCTTCCCAGAATTTAATTTTATGACTCTGTGGCTCTAAATTTGTTCTCCTGATCCCAGTCCCCATGACCTGTGGGTGCTCCCTTCTCTTGGGGTCTGTTTTTCTCTTCTCTGTTGGTGATAGAGCCGTGGAGGTACAAGGGGCCTCCGTTTCCTTTTCATTTCTTCAGGCTAAAATAAAAGGATGGGTGTGTTTTCTGCTACAGGTGACCATGGCCATTGTCCAAGCCAGAGCTCAGAGCAGTCAAACCCAGCAGTATGCAGGGATAACTCAGAGGAAGGCTGGTGAGTGAGGTGCTTTAGGAGACGGACAGTGAAAAGGCAGGGGCTGGTGCAGACAAGAGGTGAGAAGCTGCCTCTGGTTCCTCTTCCTCCGCTGCTTCACTCCTACCCAGCCCAGGGTTCTGGCTCCAGAAAACCACCAATACCTCTGCTGGAGACATCGGAAGACTGGGAAACTGAGCTGAAGAAGCAGGGAGCCACAGGCTGGAGGGTCAGCACCGTCAATGCGAGGTTCGACATCGCTACCAGGTGATGGCTGTCCACCCCAACCCCTGCTGCCTCCCAGCTGTCCCATAGTTCCCCGATCCTCTCAAACTTGGACTTTCCATAAGCTCCCGACCCCAGTACATCTGTGAAGCTACCCTTGTTACCTCTCTGCTCTCCAAACCTGAGATCCCTCAGATCTCCGAAGCAGATCTCCTGTATGACAGCTTACACGTTAACGCAGCCACTGAGCCAAGCTGGGATGTCCTTCTCAATTTCACAGCCTCCCCCGTTACATCTGGGTCCCTAATAGAACTCTGGACAGCGAGGTCAGGAGAGCATTTGGCCACTTCCATCAGGGCCGTGGACCGGTCAGTGTAAGGGTCCGGGGGACACTGTGGAGTGGGGATCCCTGTGAGGTCACTGTGGAGGCCAGGGTAGCTTGGAACTAGTGTCCCCCACAGTGACCCTGTTCTCACCCATCCGAAGCGCCTGTCCTGGCATCACCCTGGGGGCAGTGATCTTCTTCGTTGTGGAGGCTTTTACACAGCCAGTGACCCCAACAAGGAGGATATCAGGTAAGGGGCCTGGCAGTAAGACTCCAGGGTTAGGTGCTCAGGGTGGGCTCCTTCCCATCTCTGACCCTCTCCTCTCCAGAGCGGTGGAGTCCATGCTCCAGGCTGGACACTCGGACGTTGTCCTGGTAGACACGATGGATGAGCTGCCTAGTCTTGCAGATGTCCAGCTTGCCCACGTGAAGCTGAGGGCCCTCTGCCTGCCTGGTGAGAATAACCTCTGGCCTCTCACCCGTCGGGCCGCTGGCCTTCATCCTTCTGTCTGCTACTGATGAGGAACCCTTTAGCCTAGTGATCTGCAGTTGTTTTTGTTGTTTTGTTTTTCCTTTGTACTAGGGATTGAGCCCAGGGCCTCTGCATAGAGCTACATCCCCAACCCATTTTATTTTCTGAGGCAGGCTTACCTGGGGTCCTCCTGCCTCAGCTTTCTGGAGCGCTGGGTTGTGCTGGGTTGCGCTGCCACACCCAACTCCTACGTCCTATGGATTTACTGATTGCCTGTTAGATCCAACTTATTCTGTTCAAAAGACAGCTTTATGGAATTTTATAAAATGTACCCATCTTAAATGTACAATAAATCTTAATATATTTACAATGAGCAGCCATCACCTTTTTTTTCAAATAGTGCCGGGGGTGAACCTAAGGCCTTCCACTTGCTAGGCAAGTGCTCTACTCCTAAACTACATCCCCAGCCCCATACACATAATTTAATTTTAGAAACCTCATGGCCATTTACTTTTCACCCCCACCCTCAGCCTCAGGTCACTACCTGGCTTATCCTTGACCCACCAGGCTGTCGACCTCAGTCCCGAGTTCTGAGTTCTTTGCCCTTCTGCTCCCTCCACTGTCAGACTCTGCTGTGTCCGAGGATAAGTGGCTCTCTGCCTTGGAAGGAACACGGTGGTTGGACCACGTCAGGTACTCCTCTCCCAGCGGGAATTCCAGCTTCCCAACCTTCTGATAATGTGGACTCCTGAGCCGCCTTCAACAAACACTCGTCAGATTCCCAAGACTGCTACTGCCGCTTCCCGGAAGGGGCAGCGGGATTTCGGAATCTGCTGTGTTCCAGCCCGTAACCCGTTACCCTTCCTCCCGGGCTAAGCACTCGTCCCTTTTCCTTACTTGCCCCTTCAGGTCTTGTCTTCGTAAGGCCAGTGACATTTCAGTCTTGGTGACATCCCGGGTTCGTTGCGTAGTACTTCAAGGTGAGTTCCTTGGCTCAGCCTGTTCCATTCCTTGCCTTTTTCCTTTACCCACCTGAGTGGATTCTGTTCAGGGAGCGAGACTGTAAGGCTCTGTCTTCTCTTAGTAGCGCACCTCTTCCCGTTCCTAGGAGCCCCCCATGAGCTCCAACTCTTCCCCCTGCAAAAGCCCCGTCTCCCACTGTTCAGTCTCCCCGAGACTAGGATGTGCCCAGGCGCCGGTGTTGGGTGGGAAAGGCACTACGGAAGCTGGTGTAAGGGCCGATTCTGCCTCTTACACCGAAGCTGGGTATTTCAGGCTGGGTGGAGTTTACAGAGTGACTCATTCAAGCTGTTTTCGCTTCACTTCTACCTTCTCCCAACCTTGCCCACCCTGACTTCCCCCTACGCCCCTCACGTCTCCTTACCGTGTTTCTTTTTCTCACTCTCTCCTGCTCTAGTTTCTTGGACCTCCCTTTGTCCCTTCTTCCTCTTTGTCACCCAGAGCGCGGGGATCGTGATCTCAATGGCCTCCTCTCTTCACTCGTCCAGCTGCTTTCAGCCCCCGAAGCCCGAACACTGTTTGGCTTCCAATCTCTAGTGCAGCGGGAGTGGGTGGCAGCTGGACACCCCTTCCTGACCCGGCTCGGGGGAACTGGGGCCAGTGAAGAGGTGAGAATCGTCTGGAGGGCTGGCGGGGCTTCCTGAAGCACATAGCGGAGTCCACAGGAGGCAAATCGGGTCAGAGGTCCCGAGGTCAGCTGACAAGTAAGGGCCCCGAGCCCTAAGCCCTTCGGCTCAGACTCTCCCTCCTGACCTCTTTAGTGCCCCGTTCCGTGTCTCCGTCATCCTCCCTCTTCGATTCTGCGATCCCTCCAAACCCTAAACGTCTCTCTTCTCAGGCCCCAGTGTTTCTTCTCTTCCTCGACTGTGTCTGGCAGCTCCTCCAGCAGTGCCCAGCAGAGTTTGAATTCTCTGAGTTTCTCCTTCTTGCCCTGCATGACAGTGTCAGGGTCCCTGATACCCTAACCTTCCTGAGAAATACTCCCTGGGAGCGCGGGAAGCAGCGTGCTCAGGTCAGTGACTTCTACTTTTCGGTTTTTTTTTTTTTCCCCACTGATGTATTTTATGAGAAGTGAGGTCGATGAGTAGGGAGGGGTAAGCTAATGCCCACTCTCAGAATGAGATTTCTGCTCTATTATCTGATGCCTGAAACAGGTAAAAATTTCATGATTTGTCTCTAGATTTGAACAGATTATATATAATTTTTGTTTAACCATCATTTTTCTTGCTCTCTTTATCCAGTTTAACTCTTATGCACAAGTTTACACCCCAGAGTACTCTCAGCCCTCAGTTGGGAACTCTGTTAACTTGCAGCTGTCTGTTTGGGACTGGGACTTACGCTACAGCAATGAGCAAATATTACAATTCCATAATCCCGGCTATGCCCCAGAACATTACCCAGATTCCTGGTTCAGTAGACAGCAGGTGAGATGTCTAGACCTACTAAATGCTCCTGACTTTCCCACAGGCTTATACCACTAGCAGTTAGAAAGACAGTGTCTGAGTTCCTCAGGGGAAAGTACCTCACTCCTCTTCTACTTAATAGTCCCTGACTGTCAGGAGGAAGATGGAAGTCCCAGAAAGGCAGAGGACATATTTTTTTCTTTTGTTTCCCTTTATTAGTCTCATGCCCACATTTTACAAGTTTCTCTAAAATCAACTTCCATCAGCCCTGAGGTCTAGTTGAAGCCGAATGAGGAGAGTCCTGAGGGAGTCGGAGTTCTGAGGGGAGGCCTGTAGTTTTAGTTACTAGTATGAGTGAATGGCAGCTGGATGCCTTCGGGACCCAGACTCGGGAAACAGGGCTTATCTGGATTTTCAATTGCCAGTTGACATCCCTTTCCCCTTTAGCCAAGCCTCATGGTTCCTGGACCCCCCAATTCTGCGTGGCTCTTCTCTAGAGGGGCACTAACCCCCCTGAATCAGCTCTGTCCTTGGAGAGACAGTCCCTCCCTGCTGGCAGTCTCTGCTCGATGGCTCCCTCGACCTGCTGTCTCCTCTGAGAGCCTGGCTGACCAGGAGTGGGGTCTCCCCTCACATTGGGGAGCCTGCCCTTTACCTCCAGGGCTACTGCTGCCTGGATATCTGGGACCCCAGGTCAGGCTCTGGAGACGCTGCTACTTGAGAGGAAGACCCGAGGTCCAGGTAAGAAGGAAGACAGAAATTGGAAGTGGGAGAAAGGGCTTGAGGGCTGAACCAGAATAGACCTGGAAAGGAAGGTGTCTGGGAGGATTGGGAAGTGAAGTACTGTTGTTGCTGTTATCCAACTGGATAGGCTTGGGAGTGTAAGAAGTCAGAAAAACTGCTTGTGACTTAGAGTCAGTAGAATTTAGGGCACAGCTGGAAGGGGAAAGAGCATTAAAGGCACTAGAAGTCGTGGACAAATAACACAAGTGGAAAGCTAGAGCTGCCTTTTGCTTCATCCCCAGATGGGCCTCTCAGCTCCCACAATTGCTGGCCTTCGGGACGAGCTATCCCACCTCCAGGAGCTATTAAGAAAATGGACACCAAGAATATCTTCTGAGGATCATTCCAAAAAAAGGGACCCAAATACCATTCTCCCCCAATCCCCCTGACACTGCTGGTGGGCTCAAAGGCAGGGCTGAGGGAGGTCTGTGGCGAGGAATCTATGTAGTCCTGTAGGTTTGCATTCTCTGGCCATGCTGCCTCACTTCGCATTCCAGTTCTTAAACAAGCACATTTAATAGACTTGGTTTCTGTAGGAGATGGTGGTGCTAATCTCTAGCTCTTCTGTTTCTGATTCCTAAAGATATTTTTGTTCTCTGTGATTTGAAGAATTAAACAAAAACTAGCTGGAATATGAAATGACACTTTTTCTGGGGCAATCCCATTTCTTTTGGACCATGACGTTAAATCATGAGATCAGCAATACTGTTCCTAATCCCAAAAAGATGGCCAAGAGACCTCATCCTCACCCCTTCCTGCTGCTGCCTTAATTCCAGTTTCTATTTTTTCCCTTACAGTTTTCTGTGGGAATGAGGTAGATTTGGGAAGACACCCACTCCTCCTACTGCATGTTTTTGTAGTGCTATTTCTATTTAAGAAGTTCAATAAAGCATAGCATTTCTACACTTTACTGGCGTTGCTTATTGTGATTAAAGAATCCTAGGTGCCAAAGAATAACTTGGGGGCTGGAGGAAAAGAAGCACCTCATATTACTGCCTCAGAAATACGGTAACTGGGCAGGTGTGGCGCTGCAGAACTGACGTGCAGTTTAGAAATAGGGCTTTCTTTCCTGTGTCTCCCACTTAAGAGGTCGATGGGACAAGAGCCTATTAAAATATCCCTGTAGATGTGTTCTGGAGGTTGGGGCTCAGAGCTTCAATTCCAAACAGCCACGATCCTTGGTCACACCCGTCTTGGAGCCGCCTGATTCCGTCCCACTATGCAATCGCAACGAGGCGACCTCAGACGTCACTCCAGCCGACACTGCGCAACCTACTCCCTTGCGGGAAAATAAAATACCTGGGGCCCAAACTAGGGCTGTGGGGCCGAGATAGAAGGCAGCGGAGTTCACAGGCTGGGGGTTTCCTTAGCACACCCTCTCCTAGGTAGCAAAAGAAGGATCCCTTGATACCAACGATTTGTCTGTAGCAAAATGAAAAAATTCTGTTCTTTTAGCTTCTGGATTTACATTTTTGTGACGAGTATAATTCCGTAACATTTTAGCACTGCCTTAAGGGGGTCTGAATTTCAGTCCTGCCCTCATCACTGTGATGATGCACGGCCAAAGGGAAAATTCCCGAGACGCTCGGTTTCAGGGGGTCCTAAAATGGCCGCACCCGCTTCCGGCTCCTCTTCCCTACAGCCCCACCCAGTGCCCGCCTTCGCCCCGGAAGAGGAAGTAGTAACAGGTCAGAGGGCGGAGCCACCGCTTGGCGACGGCGGGAGCTCCTTCGCCATGGCTGCCGGGCCTATCTCTGAACGGAATCAAGGTATCTAAAGCAGACGAACCCTGAATGGATCTCGGGGAGCTAAGATTCCCTGACTAGGACCAGCAGCATTTCCGCCAGCCGCGGACATCACAGCCCCCGGCAGGCGCGAGGCCGGCCGCCGCGGTTCCTGGAGGCGAGGTGCTTGGGTGCAGGCTGAGAGGCCTGTATGTTTGGTGGTGCTTCTAGGACCAGTCCCCTTCTTTTTGCCCACCAAAAAGAAAACAAGACAAAGGAAAAAACCCACAGCAGGCAAAATCTGCAGCAGAGCATAAACTATATTTTTAGAAGATTCTCTAGGTCCTGGGAAGTTTATGTGCTTAATCTAACGAGTTTTTTCTTTTTTTTACCCCACCCCATCCCCCAATTCCCTTGCCTGTATTCTGTCTTCTTGTTCCACCTTTCTTTCCTGTCATCTTCTCACCTCTGCCCTGCCTCCTTCCTCCCCTCTAGATGCCACTGTGTATGTGGGGGGCCTTGATGAGAAAGTTAGTGAACCACTGCTGTGGGAACTCTTTCTCCAGGCTGGGCCAGTAGTCAACACCCATATGCCAAAGGATAGAGTCACTGGCCAGCACCAAGGTGAGTACATGGCAAGAAGTTAATTTGTATATTTAGAGGACAAAAGCTCCTGAAAAATCCTGACATTATTCACAGCTGTTTTTGTCATGGGCAACATAAGAGATTTCTTTCCTTTGAGTTTGGGTTCAAAGTTCATAAAGGATTTCTTTTAAGCTTCATGTTCTTTGTGATTGGAGAGTGGATGACCTAGGCCCCATTTTGACTCTGTTCACTTGAGTTGTTAACCTAACCTTCTTCATTTCCCCAGGCTATGGTTTTGTTGAATTCTTGAGTGAGGAAGATGCTGACTATGCCATTAAGATCATGAACATGATCAAACTCTATGGAAAGCCAATAAGAGTGAACAAAGCATCAGCTCATAACAAAAACCTCGATGTAGGGGCCAACATTTTTATTGGGAACCTGGACCCAGAGATTGATGAGAAGCTGCTTTACGATACTTTCAGCGCCTTTGGGGTCATCTTACAAACACCCAAGATTATGCGGGACCCTGACACAGGGAACTCCAAAGGTTATGCCTTTATTAATTTTGCTTCGTTTGATGCTTCGGATGCAGCCATTGAGGCCATGAATGGGCAGTACCTCTGTAATCGCCCTATCACCGTGTCTTATGCCTTCAAGAAGGACTCTAAGGGTGAACGCCATGGCTCAGCAGCTGAACGACTTCTGGCAGCCCAGAACCCACTCTCTCAGGCTGACCGCCCTCATCAGCTGTTCGCCGATGCACCCCCTCCACCTTCTGCCCCCAATCCTGTAGTATCATCACTGGGGTCTGGGCTTCCTCCACCAGGTAAAGTGTTTGGTTCAAAGTATCTGTGGCTTGAGGCTATTGGAGGGGAAGGGAAGGAGGAAGGAAAAACCCTGAGAGGGTGGGACATTGAGGCAGTGATTGATGAGAGAGGGGAATGTTTCGAGATAGTGGTGAAGAAAGTTGTATTTCTTTTGGAATTTGACCACTTAGAGCACTGACAGGAGAATAAAGAACTCACCTGCCTGGAGAGGCCAGATTGAGACACGTGCTTTTAAGCCTCTGTTCTTATTACCATCAAATCTTCCTTCTTTCATTTCCTGCACAGGCATGCCGCCTCCTGGCTCCTTCCCACCACCCGTGCCGCCTCCAGGAGCGCTCCCACCCGGAATACCACCGGCCATGCCCCCACCACCGATGCCTCCTGGGGCTGGAGGACATGGTCCCCCATCAGCAGGAACCCCAGGGGCTGGACATCCTGGTCATGGACATTCACATCCTCACCCCTTCCCACCAGCTGGGATGCCACATCCAGGTAGGCGTTCTTTGCTGGGAAAGGGGCTGATAAGCTTGCTGCAGGGACTGTGTCACTGCTCACCCTAGTCCCCTTTGTTCCCAGAGGATAACAAACCCAGAGCTCTCTTTTCCTTCAAACAATCCCAAATGCTACGTTGCTTTGTATACTCACACACTGTCTTTTCTGAAGAGTAGCCAGTACTCTCTATTTTTATTTCCTTGACTTACTTTCATTATTTCATCTGGTTCCACTCCAGTGAGTCCACTGCCAAATCTAGGGGACACTTCTGTTCCTTAATTGGTTTAACTTCTTTTGTACTTGAAATTAGCCATGTCTTCCTATTTGAAATTTGTGTCTCTTTTTCCTTCTTTCTCTGCATTTGCTACCCTTCTCTCTGACTCCTTAGTCTTAGCTACCTTTGATGTTTTTCTCTGCTTGTGCCTACGTTGATTGATTGATTGATTTTTTTTGTTTTTTGAGACAGGGTCTCACTATGTAGTTGAGACTCATCTGGAACTCACTGTGTAGCCCAGCCTGGTCTCACAGTGATCCTCCTGCCTCAGCCTCTTGAGTGCTGGGATTACAGGCATGCGCCACCATGCCCAGCTAGATTTTTTGCTTGGTTCTCTTTTTCAGTGTGAAGCCATAGTTTTAATTATATAGATATTGATGTATCCTGCCTGGATCTCTTTCTGTATTCCATGGTGGTTTTTTTTTTGTTGTTGTTGTTGTTTTTTTTTCTTTCTTGTACTAGGGACTGAAGCAGGGCCTTTGCACTGGCCCTATTTATTTATTTGTCTCTCTTTTTTTCCCCCAGTACTAGGAATCAAACTCAGGACCTTGCGCTTGCCAGGCAGGCGCAGCGCCACGGAATTAAATCCCTAGCCCTTTATTTATTTATTTATTTATTTATTGAGACAGAGTCTGGGCTGGAATTTGTGATCCTTCTGTCTCAGCCTCTGTTCTAGTCTGTGCTTTTTTAAAATTTTTATTTATTTATTTAAAAAAAATATTTTTGGTACTGGGGATTGAACTCGGGTCATTGCGCTTGCAAGGCAGGCCACCGAACCACTGAGCTAAATCCCTGACCCTTATTTTTGGTTTTTTGAGACAGGGTCTTACTGTGTAGTTGAGACTGACCTGGAACTCACTATGTAGCCCAGGCTGATCTCGATCTCACAGCGATCCTCCTGCCTCAGCCTCCCAGTGCTGGGATTACAGGCGTGCACCACCACACCCAGTTTAGTCTGTGGTTATTAACAAGCCGGAATCATAATCCTGTTGCTTTGATATTCCCTTTCAAACCCGCTCTTCCTGTAATAGTCTTTGTTTTCATAATTTTGGGAATTTGACTATTCCCTGTCCTATGTTATCACAGTGCCTAAATCATATAGCAAGTGAGGTGGATGAGGAGTTGGTTTCCTGCATGGTTGGTTTGTGTTACGGGGTTGGAGTCAAGGATGGGGTACTTTGTACCAACCTTATTTTCCATATGCTTCTGTAAAGGTCACTTTTTTGTCATTTTGGTTTTTTCCTTTCTTCATTGGCTTTGCCCTCTTCTGTATTTTCCTCTGTCTCCTTTCCTGTCTCTGTTTTATTTTCACAGGGATGTCTCAGATGCAGCTGGCCCACCACGGCCCCCATGGCTTAGGACATCCCCATGCTGGCCCACCAGGCTCTGGGGGACAGCCACCTCCCCGGCCGCCACCTGGAATGCCTCACCCCGGACCTCCTCCCATGGGCATGCCCCCCCGAGGGCCTCCGTTTGGGTCTCCCATGGGTGAGTAGACTCCGTCACTTCCTTCTGTCACATAGAGTCCCGGCTTTCTTCACGCCCGTGTCCTATGCCCTTTCTTTTTACCTTTTGTATTTCTTCTCCCTGGCTCCCTCTCCCAGTATCAGCTATCTCCTGTTTCTCCCCTGTACTAACTTCTCTCTCCCTTCATGCAGGTCACCCAGGTCCGATGCCTCCACACGGTATGCGAGGGCCTCCTCCCCTGATGCCCCCTCACGGCTACACGGGGCCTCCACGACCCCCTCCCTATGGCTACCAGCGGGGGCCCCTGCCTCCGCCCAGACCTACTCCCCGGCCTCCCGTCCCTCCTCGTGGCCCACTGCGGGGCCCTCTGCCTCAGTAGATCCTCATTTTCTTTCCTCCTCTTATATTCCCCCAGCATCTTTTCTTCGATTCTTTGGACCAAGCAGAGTTGTGGCTCTTTGTGGCTAAGGCTCAAATGCCTCTCAGGCTCCCGACCTCCTCTTTTTAGTATAAACTTCTTCACAGGAGATTTTTTTTTTTGTCTTTTTTATTTTGATCCTAAGTGTTTTGCTAGTGCCCAGAGAAAATAAAACTATACTCTTTGTTTATTCTTTTTGGTGTTTTCTTTAGTAAAGTAGTTTTTAAGGAGAGGTGTCAGGGTATTGGGAGGAATGGTAAGGTTAAGGAGCAAGGGTATTATTTATTTATGGTGATATTGGGGACGGAACCTTGGGGCACTTTACCAGCTGCATCCCCAGCTGTTTTTTTTTTTTTTTTTTTT